TTTCTAGGAGACCCTTCCGAAACACGAGTAAAGAAAACAAGAGCCCTTAATCGGCACTTCAACACGAAGAATTCATTCATTATTACCGATCATACAAACCACGGAGGCAACATTAATTGAATTGTACAAGTTCTAACTAAATGCAAATCATCATTTCATTAATGAAACAAACAAACATACAGTAAGCTTGCGAGAATCATAATCAAATCGACCAAAGAGCTAACCTTTCGAGCAATTTATCTGCGGCCTCAGTCTCATTGGCCTGGTGCATGGCCTTGAGGACGAGATTAAACGACGCCGTGTTGGGCGTGATGCCGTAGTCCTCCATATGCGCCACAAGATCCAGCATCGTCCCCGGCGAGGCTCCCATCATCAAATTGGCCCTCAAGTAATGGTTATACAAGCTCACATCGGGCTTATTCGGCTTCCCGTTCTTATCCAACGACCGAACCCAGAACTCGAACAGCTGCTTCATGTCCGGCCATCGCTGTGATGTCATCCAACCGGCGAACTCGTTCATTAGGCTCTGCGCGTCTAGGTTTTGCGACATGGCCTGGAATCGGGCGCTCGGGAACTGGTTGAGGAACCCGATGGGAAGCGGGGACTGACCCATTGGCGAGTTGGGTGCCGGATTCCGCCAGTTCTCGTTGTACATGGGGCTTCCGGAGGCGGGGTTCGGAGGGAGAGGGGTGGAGGCGATGGGGTGAGTCGGCTCGACGGCGAGTTGAGGCTCCTGGGAGAGAAATGTGAAGGTTGTGATGGACTTGAGTCCCGGGTTCGGGTTTAGGAATTTGGCCAGCGTTCGGGTCCGCGCGAGGATCGCCATTTGGGACGCCATTGATGGAGCTCAGTCACAGTGACAGAGCTGTACGGTAAGTTAGGGTTTTGAAGCTTCTCAGGGAGGGAGGGCTGTATGGTAATTTCGAAATTTGTAATGGCATTTCGGATATTATCTGGAAATGAAGTGGCATTGTGGCTGATAGGTTATGTCAGCAGCGTATTATTTGGGCTTGTAAAATTTAGACGTGCAAGAGTCCAAAATTTCTGGTGTTGGGTTTTAAAAGGCGGAAAGCGCAGTTTAGATGGATTGCCTGGTTTTAAGTTGTAAAAAGCCCAAATTATAGAAGAGGCTCCAACTTTTAGGCCCATTTTAAATATACAAGCCCAAAATGTTATTCTGAGTCCATACATCAGTTTTAGATCCCGTCGGGATCAATCCATCTTATACTCTCACCACAGATCCTATGGCCAGAAATTAAACACAATTCTTGGCCGCACGATTTGCATCAACAGAGCCGCAATAACATGGTCCGGAGGCTCCAGAGAGAATCTGGATCCCAAATGTTTATTTATTCGCTGCAGGAGTTTTGAAGCCAATCAGTACGACTTAAATTTGTCTTTTTTTCATGAGGGGAGAATATACATACATATTTAGTATTCGAAAGAATACATTTTGAATATGTGAGATCGTATAAAGAAAAACATAATATATTGAGGAAATTTTGCTCGTGAGAAACATAAATACTACACACGCACACACGTATGTATTCTTCCCAACACAAAATGATCGAAGGTGTAACTCACGGGCAAAATTTCCTCAGTATTTATATAAGTTCTTTGGCTTTTTTGGTTAAGTTTTAATTGGACAGTTGTATCTTGCATGTGGAATGGAATTATGCAAGTAAATTAATAACACTGTTTTCACAAAACAAGTAGTGGTAGGGCCAAACAGATCAAATCCGACAAGATTAACAAATAATTTGATGACAACATCATCACATGGTAAGAGATCAAATCATCACACATTTTTTTGTGGAGACGGATTCTCTCCGCATCATTTCACCAAATCTATTAATTTTACCTATTCAGACTTTTAAAATTGATCTAACGACTAAAGTTATTATAAATTTTAGAAAGGGCTCCTGTTTTTAGCCGTTTGATCAAATTTAAAGGGTCCGGATTGGTGAATTTGGTGGAAGGGATCCGGAGATGATCCCTTTCCTTTTTTCGTTTTTTCTTTTGTTTTCTTAATTTCATATAATGTTTTCTTTTGGTAAAGCATATATAATATTTGTTTGTATCATATTTCACCAATCTCGAAAACAACTGATTGCCTGTCAATTTTGTATCTTCGAAGACTTAGTGAAGGATTTATGATGAGGCACCCCTGCCAAAGCACACGAGTTCCTTGTCAATTAAGAGACCAATCACAATGTTACACATGTTAACACCAAAATAAAACTCCTAGAATCCCACATCAATTGTGGACGGAAACAAAGGACTCTCGTCAACTATAAAAGTAGATCATTTTCCAACAATTAGTCCCTAGTGTCATTATTTCCCTTAATTCATTATTAAAACTTACCAGTGATGATTATGCTTAAACTTTTGTCCAATGTAAACTTTACATTATTAATAAGAACTCATTTACCCTCTAAGACGTAGCCTAACTTAAAAAAAGTAATCATAAACCTTTTATTGGTGAAGGTTCTGTTCCATTTGAAAGAATGAAAAGCTGGAGCATTACCTTTGTTTTTTGTGTGGTCCAATTTAATCTCTTTAGGGATGGTAGGAATTTCAAGTCCCAAATCAACAACTGGCGGGACTCGTTCACTAAGTCATCTAAAAGCAACCACAGAATTTTAAAGAATCACTTTGCTAGTGTTTCTCCTTTATAATTTTGGATCCACCTAATACGTATGACTCAACTCACATGTATTTCTTTTTACATTGAATTTGCAATTAACACGTGTAACATTAACTTGATGAAATTGCAAAGGGAAAGTTTCATGCACATATATCAAGGTCCACATAAAATATCAAGGCTTTTTAGCTAAAACGGTCGTTGAAATTGACATACTTCTTCACTTTGGTTCATAGCTGATAATCGATAAAGGTAATTCCTTGTCACAGTAAATCATTTTGGTAACTCCGAGAAAAATATGTCAATATTCTTGTTAAGTGGAAGGGTTGGTTTGACAAAAATATCCTTCAAAAGACGGTTGCAGATTCATTCACATAACAATTCAACAAGAAAACTGATAGACATAATGACTATAATGACTAAAATGATTTGTGGACAAACTGAGGAATCACTTCTATCGATTTTCATTGTCAGGGACCAAACTGATGAGTTATGTTAATCTCAATAATCATTTTATCTAAAATGCCAAACAGAAATTAAACTCCGTTAGAGCTAATCTCTTGTTGTTCATCGGTTGCTTAATAATAAAGCGGTCGGTTATTAACTGAGTGATTTTAGGTTGAACATACAATAAAAAAAATTAATTTAATATGGTTGCTTGCACTTGCATGACCCCAATACACACCGAAACAAGCTATTTCATTGATGATTGAGTTCAAGTAATTCATTAACGTTTGCGTTCCACACTTTATCAAGGAATGTGTCACGAGTGCCGTGGCACCACCCCATTGGCTAGATTGATATTTGATTTGAAATCTTACTATGCTGACGTGTGGGATTTCTTGGGTTTGCGGTGGAGACCGTAAATGGGAGGTGCATGCCTTCAAGGGCAAGCTATAAACAGATTTGAGTATGTCCACCAAAAGCCTTTGTACGAGTGGTTGTCCAAGCTGGAGACTTTCAACGGCTGATAATATTTAAATTCTATGTGCATCAACGATTGAAAGTCATTTAAAATAAGAAATTGCACTTAACAAGTTTTCTAAGACTAAATGTTGAGAAAGTCTTGACTACGTGTGTGTGCCGCATGGGGTAACACACTCACAATGAATTGCAACCCTTGCTTTGAGTCTTAGCACGTCCCGACTATTATTACTGTGTTGCCATATGCGTTAGTCGTACTCAAAATTCCCTCTACATCTATCTATTCTATTAAGAGAAGAGGGCTCGTCAACTTTTTGCCCTATTTTCTTCCAATTTTTACTCTTATTTTTTAATGCACAATGTTGACATGAGGAGGGCATAATAATAATTTTGTATATTTTGAACTTTTTTCCCTTTTTTCTTATTTTGCTCTCACTTTTGATACACAATATTTACATAAGGAGGGTTAAATAGTAATTTTATATCGAAATATTTACATAAGATAAAAATATGTATTTATTAAGAAAAATTGTTTCACCATCATTTTTTCATACAGGTAAGTGAAATCATGATATTTTTTGGATAGTTTGAATGAATTGAAGCAGTTGCGCTTGAGGAGAACGTGGGAGGAGGTGGGTCGTGGATGGTTGTTCACACACACAAAGTATGTGCTCTCTGCTAGTAACATGTTATATTAACTCTAAAGAACAACCACTTAATACTACTGTTTAATGGTATTCCTCTTCATTTGTCTTCATTTGTAAGTGAAAGGTCTTAGATTCGGTTCTCGCCAATGAGAAATTTGAACCATATTATTGCTAGCTCATTATAAAATTTAATCCACTCATCAACCTTTTCAATATAGAATATCATTTGTTAAAAACAAAAAAAATAAACAAAAAATTTGAAAGAATGTGTATTTATCACACGATGAAAATTTCAACATGGCATGTGTATTTACCACAACTTGGACATGTATTGGTCACAACTTTTAACTTGTATGAGATGCTGATGCCTCGTGCCCCGAACGAACCATCTATCCCTCCATGGAACCACTAATGGTGGGCCCCAACAGGCCACTGCTAAGTACTAACCAAACCCTAGTCCACATTGGGTTCCGTGCCCCAAAAGAACCATCTATCCCTCCATGGGACCCCTATCGGTGGGCCCCCCACAGGCTAGTTCTAACTTCTAAGCAATAACCAAACCCTAGTCCAGGTTGGGTTCGGTTCTGATCACCCCGCGGCGGGTGAGTTTAAGACCGTTTACTCTTTACATGACAAAAGCTTCTGCTTGCTCAGCTCCCCAGAACCCTTAAACAAACATGTATAAATCTAAATGTAAATTATATTGCTTATTAAACAGCATTTCTGCCACTTAATGTAAAAAAAATCTTAATTAAAAAAAGGTTTAAAACCATATCACACACACACACACCCACCGTCCTATCATTGCTTTCCCCACTAGAAATCCCCACTCTCCACAGCTCTCTCTCTCTCTCTCTACAAGCCACCTCTCTCTCTAGTTCAGCAAAACTGTCATTTCTCTCCCTTATTTTTCCTCCAATCCTGCATCAATCATGGCTGCTTTAGTGTATATTGTGATGTTATTTGTCCTCACTGGCCATTCAAGTAAGCTCATTTATTATGTTCTGTTTTTTAATCTCTTTCCGGTTTTTTTTTCTTAATTTTTCTCAATCTAACATGTGGAAACTGCAAATCACTGTAACCCCTTTTTTCCAATCGAGGAAGAATTCCTCCCAAATCATAAAGTGTCAATCTTTCTCGTATTTTCCCACTCCATCAAATGAAATACCTCCCAAATCAAAAAGTTTTAATCTGTCTTTTTTTTTCTTTTTTTCTTTTTTTTTTATAAGGATTAGAAGATATTAGCTCCTCGGAGTACGACGATGTCATGTGTCCTCAAAAGGGCCATGATTTAAAGTGGTTTTAGTGTGAAGTAACTGGTTTTCTGGGTTTTTTTTTTTCTGGGATTTGTAGGTGCTATTTATTGCGTATGCAAAGATGGAGTTGGTGATTCAGCACTTCAGAAGGCATTGGACTATGCCTGTGGAGCTGGAGCTGACTGCAGTCCAATCCTCCAAAACGGTGCGTGTTACCAGCCCAACACCATCAAAGATCACTGCAGCTATGCAGTCAACAGTTATTTCCAGAGGAAGGGTCAAACTGCACAGAGCTGTGATTTTTCTGGTGCTGCTTCTCAGAGCCAAACTGCTCCTAGTAGTAAGTTTATTCCTCCCAAATCTTTATTCTTACCAATTTTTTTATATATATTTTTAATAAAAATCTCTAATTTTAATTTTCTGGTGATTTTCCAGCCGCAAGTTCGACTTGTGTTTATCCTGCAAGTACCAGGTAGGCGTCTGAGTTTTTATTTCTGATATCTTTTGCATTTTTCCCCAGAATTTTATCAATATATTTAAATGCAGTTTCCCCAGAATTTATTTTTTTTATTCTCTTGTATTTTTATGTGGGGTAGATGGTAGGTAGAACCTCTCCCTCTGGGAGCCCGGATCCCTTAGGTAGCTAAGCCTTCTAAACAAAGAATCTGGACCGTTAAAATTTGATTCAACGGTTGTAATTATCATAACTTTAGAGGAATTCTTGTTTGTAGCCGTTGAATCAAATTTCAACGATCCAGATTCTTTGCTCAGAAGGCTTAGCCTCGTAAGCGGGGATCCGGTTCCCTCTCTCTTAACTTAAAAGCTGTAATTTTTTATTTTTTTTTGTCAAACACTTCAATGCTGTAATTACTTGTAGTCAAATGGTGGGTTTCAAAAGTTCTTGAATAAGCAACAGCAGCTGCGATTTACAAAAGTGAATTTGGAGATTACGGTTCATAACTTAATGAGCTTATTAAGAAAGTGATTTAAGAAAAAATAGATCTGCCTCCGCCCTTAAATTAATACTGTATTAGCTTGATCTATTATATTAGTCATAACTGTGAGCTGTCATGATCTAAGCTTGACAGTTGTTTTACTGCATATCATCATGAAAATACGAAACTAGTTACAAACTTTTAATTAAAAACATAAGACAAGTGACTATTAAATATTGGTTTATTGTCTGTTTAACGTTCATGCAGTTCTATTTTCGATTGAAAGTTTGTTACGGGTTCGTTTGTATGTATTTTCCCATGAACTTCAAGATTGGAGTGCACTCTTTGCAATTAACATGATTTTGTTCTGTTTTGTTCAGCCAAGCAGGAACCGGCTCTACCACTACAAACTCAACCACAGGCACAACTCCAAGCACAGGCACAACTCCAAGCACCAGCACTGGCACCGGCATCACAACTCCAGGCACTCCGGCATCAGTGTTCGGACTAAGCCCCACCGGGAGTACCACAGGAATCAGCAATACCGACGGCGCGGCTACCTTGGGAGGTGCCAACCAGTTCTTTTTCTCTCTAGCCTCAGCTCTGTGCTTCACGGTGTTGTTACTGACCTGAAGAGCTTCGGGTGGTGGTGTAATTGGTGGTAGGCATGTAATTTGCGGCATTTGGGTGGGTGGTTGTGTAGGGAAACATCTTCAGAGGCCAAAAAAAAAAAGCCCACTAGGGCTTTTAATTTTTCTAGTTTCTGCGTTTTGTGTTTCCTTGCTCCAATGTGAAAACAGCTGGGGAATATTCGATTCCATTTTGAGTGGTGCCGCTGGTGCTTGTTTATTGGGGGTAGGAATCTGATCATCTCCTTTTTAGATTTTTCCTTTTGTATATGTACAAGAGACTAATTTTTTTTAATTTATTGTCTCTTAATTTCCGTCATGCGTGGGCGATTATTTACATTGATTTAAAATATCTCTTATCACATAACACATTATTAAGAATTTATGCGAATAGTGCATCGAGCTATCATAGAAGCTTTTGATAGTGAAGCAATGGCCGAAAGCAAAAGCAGACAGAGACACCTTCCAATAGGTCGCATCAACGCAACTAACCATATACTGTCTATTTTATGTTCATAAAAAGAAAAAAGGTCAATTTATATCACTACAAAATAACGTAAACGCAATCCAATATGTTAATTTTAATTTTTAACAACCCGCTTGATAGCATTTCTTTTTTAATTTTTAGATTACTTAAGTTGAAACAAACAGAGGTGTACGTAAGGAATAAATGGGTATGTGGAAATAATTTTTCTATAGTATTGCACAAGATTTGTTGGATATATGATTAGACGAAACTTTCTTGAGCACTTCGAATATTAAAAACACTCTAATTATCTAATATTCTAGAGCGTCCAAGAATTTTTTATGGCTAGAATCCACCAGCTTGTCAAAATTCACAAACCATTGGACAAGAATTATGGAATTTGACGTGCATGGGCGAAAAAGTTGAAAAGAATCTAAAATAAAATACAGGCACGTAACATGTTGAAGGCTACAGAAGTCGGACCTTTGATGAAGACTCGTGAACTACCCACAAACCATATATAAGCCACAAACTCTAATATTTACAAGCGTATTATGCAGATTTTAGTTTTAAGTTAAGTTGACAAAAATAATGTACTTCTCATCGATATTTAATTTTAAATTCCACTCTTTTTACGACGCTAAAATCTATCATGTTATTGCATCCCTCACCTTGCCAATCCTTCTCTAATATTGTTGATTTGTAGTTAATTTTTTATCATTAATTTTAAATTCAGCAATTATTAAAGCAGAAAAGAATGAATAATCAAAGATTAAAAGAAAAAAAAATATCAAATTACAAATTAAGAAAAACTTTATACAGATGGGCTGAAGGCTACTGAGGTCAGCAAATTCCACTCACCTACTTAAAAGAAGATTCTTAAGCAATAGACATACACACGCAATTACTTCTAAGTTGTATATATAGCAAATAGTAAATGAATACAAAGTCACAGTTACTGCCAGTAAATGGGTGCTTTTACACATTCGGAGTTCAAAAAATATACATGTGAAGGTCTTTTGAACATTTTTAGATGTTTGTTATGTGTCACTTTTGTGCTCACCAAATGTTTAATGTAATACCTGCTAAGCATATTGGCATCACTCGGCAAGTTGTGTCGAGAGCAATCGACAAATTTTCTCGATAACACTCATCAAATTAGCATCACTTGACATGTGTGCAATATAGTTCAACTGACGACAACATGCCCACCAAATGTTCGATGAAATGCCTCAGTGAATAAACTAAATTTTTATGCACACTTTGTGCTGTATTTCTACCCATAATGTTCAAATCCTGAATCCACCACCACCGATCATGAGATGTAATTCGAATTCTGGAACCTGAATGTAGCTCTTAAAAGATGTAAAACCGGCCGAATTCGTATAACATGTATGGCAGGATATGAAATTGTGAATATCATTTACGAGGACATGGAAAGTAAACCTTCAAACTCTGAGCAATACACTGAACCTCTTCATGCTGATCTTGGTTTTTCCACGCGAGGAAGGTGTACGCATTGTGACATTTGTTGTTAAACAGCGTTTGGCAATTCACAACGCAATCTCTGCAGCAAACGATATAACAAACCACACGATTACCAAGCTGTATAGAACTGTGGTATGATGGAAAGATGATACACACAAATGGGTCAAAAAACAAGGAAAAGGAACATTGTTGTTCTACCGACGTTTCTCTTCAAACACTTGAACGGATTGTTTCACCTTGGCCGACGATAACCTCTTTCCTATACGCATGACGCAGCACGAAGTAATCAAAAGGTTATCAACGTAATCCCTTGAATAACAAGTCTCGAATCCACCAGAAAGTGGAGAGAAATCCCAAAGGATTGAATCAATGAATGATTGAATGAATACAATTAATACATTCAGGTGACTTAAATAAAGATTACAATTGCTTGGAACAACTCAAAAGATTTCTAGAAATTTAAAAATATTAATTAAACATTAATTGGATAGAAACCGAAATGTCCGGTTTTTATTACGAAACTTTAAACATTGTTTTTGAGGCTGAAACAACCAGAATTAACCAAAATCCATTGGAGTTCGGACACCAAATCTGTAAATTCCACTACGTCTTTTTATCTTCTGACGGTCCATTTCAATCCATTCTCCCAGTCAATACATCACTGTTTTCCAAAAACTTCTCAAATCTAATGACAAAACAAATTTCAGACGTAACAATTCTATTTGGGCACTAACATTATAACCCCACTCATCACGAAACCCACAGCTGCATCCTTCTGGAAACAGACAATGCAAGCGGCCTATCTAAATAAGATACAAGAAACACCAGACTATGGTATCTCAGCCTTATAGCCTCCTTTCTCTAAGAGCACTCGATCTTGACAGAAACATGGTGAAAGTAACATGTAGACAACAAGGAATCTGAGAAATTAGTGACTAGAGTAAACACTCACTCCAGCATAGGCTAACATTTTAGGCATGGTTGCTAGATTTTCTGCGCCTTCTGTATATCCGCTTAGAGGCCACGTTATAGGAGGGAGAAATTTTTCAGTATGCTAGCAACACGACTTTGTACACCAAGTGTCATAATACAATTAGTTGATTTTTTTTTTTTCTTCTTCAAGCTTTCGATCAATTTTATTATAACACTTTGGTGCACTAGCCGTCTTCTCGGCATAGTAAAAAATCTCTTCGTCACCGTTATACATATAAGTGGTAAATTTAGAATTTTTGGAAAATATAAAGTCTAGATTGAAAAAAGTTTTCTATTAAAGACTAAAATCAAAGCTTTTTAGTTTTTTCCTGTTACCCGCGGCCGCAAGAATGCCGTTGCAACGGTGAAATATCGCCAATCTTACACGCGAAATTTCACGGAAGCAACTGTACCCACTTACGATGCTCCACGTGTAATTCACACTTCATCAGACGGTCATTGTCCACGAAGTGAATTTACTCTTTAAATACCCAAATCCGATTTGCCCGAAAAAAGGAAACAAAGAGAGAGAAAGAAAGCGTGAGAGCAGTAGAGCACACAGTGTGAGAGAGCGAGAGAAAAACCGCCATGGATCCACCCCAACTGAGACCAGGAGCTCCACAAAATCGCCCTCAGCCACCACCTCAAGGAGGCGGCGGCGATTCCTCTGCCATTTTCTTTGTCTTCTTCGCTTTCCTCGCCATTTTCGCCGTGGTAACGCCTCTCGCACTTCATACTTTGCTCTCCAACTTAGAACTCCGGCTAGGTCTTCTTCTTTCACTACTAATTTGCTTTATATTTCTTCGATATTCGTTTGTTTCATCGCGTTTTAGGGTTTTTCTTCGAGCTTAATCAATCACTTGATATACAGTACTACCTCAATTTTTCATCAATTTGTTTCACTTTTAGGTTTTATGATGGTTTAATTAATTCCTCTAGTTCGAGTATAATGTATCTGTTCTTGATTTCTACCTAATGCATAGATTTGTGTTGAAAGTATTAATTACGGATTACAGTTTCGTAATGCATTCTTTTGTCATTTCGTGTAATGATTATATGTTTGCTAAGCATGATTATGTGCATCAAAATTCATCTGGTGACTTCATTAATCCTCTATCTTATATTTGCATTAGTTGATTGAGATTTAGAACTATGCAATTTCCCAATAATGGATCGAATTGAAGGTTTTTCCCGGAATTTTTCATAGACCACCACACACAATTGTTTGAGCTACCTCAAACGATTGTGAATGTTAATTGTAGCATTTGGCTTACTACATGTGTTCATAACGACCTGTTCAGGTTAATGGATGAATCACAGGGAATCCTTCTGTGATGATAGTAGCAATAGACTTGGATTGTATTTTTGCTTAACTATATGATATGCTAGCTAGGGAACTTCAAGTAGTATGCTAAATTCTTAAACCTGGGATGTCTTGATGTTTATAGACGGTTCTTCCAACATCAACAACTCTATCCATTCTGCACCAAGTCCCAGAAGGTCATGTTGGGGTATATTGGAGAGGAGGCGCTCTTTTGAAGACAATTACAGATCCAGGTAATTTGCATTGAGAAGTTGCTTGCATAGGCCTTAACTTTGCCTGCTTCTCATTATTTTAAATTTCAGGTTTTCATCTCAAGCTGCCTCTGGTCACCCATTTTGAACCGGTTCAAGTGACCCTGCAGACTGATCAGGTAACTTTGGTAATCTGTGTTTGGAAGATTGAGGTGTCTTTCCATTCGTTAGAGTTTTGAAACCTTCTGTTAAAAAAATTGCAGGTGAGGGATATTCCATGTGGTACAAAAGGGGGTGTCATGATCAATTTTGAGAAGATTGAGGTAAGGCTATGCGATATTATTGTTCAATGTTGTGTGAAGTCAGATTTCTAATCTCCTCACTGTGCATGCACTAATTAGGATGCATTTTTCAGGTCGTAAACAGGCTTCGTAAGGATTTTGTGTACGAGACGCTTCTCAATTATGGTATCCATTATGACAATACCTGGATATATGATAAAATTCATCATGAGATCAATCAGTTCTGCACCTCACATTCTCTTCAAGAAGTTTATATTGATGTGTTCGATCAGGTAACGTGGAATGCAAATGAGTCTGTTACTTTTTTTTTATCTGTAGTATATGCGCATGTGTTTTGAAAAAATGCAAATGAGCCTGATACATACACGAGTAGCATATATTTTTTTCCTTCTCTTCTGTAATGTAAACTGAGGATTATCGTATGTGTTTTGAAGAATTGTTTTAATGAGCTAGTTTGTTGTATTATATTTGTGGGTTGAATTCTTTTTATCATTCAGTAATATCCAAAGCCTCATAATTGATTGTCAACAAAACATACCCTTTCAGATTGATGAAAAGATGAAAGAAGCTCTTCAGGGTGACTGTACCCGTTATGCTCCGGGTATTGAAATCATCAATGTCCGTGTTACAAAGCCTACCATCCCAGAAAGTATAAGACGTAACTTTGAGCAAATGGAAGAGGAGCGCACCAAGGTAAAGATAAAGATAAAGAGTTCATTTTATTCCATTTCTTCATCCATAATTCTGTTACAAACATTACGTAATTTGTAAACTATATATTTTGATTTCACTTCCCCTTTTTAGTTATTCTGTGGAATTTATAATTTCACGTCACTAATTTTCCCTGAATATTGATAGAGAAGTCTTGTTTATATCCAGTTTTACTCAAATTACTCTTCCAAGTACTTGATGCCCAAACATTGGACACGCTTTAGAACAAAAAGTTTGTCATAAGATTTTAGGCTACCCTTTCTTTAGGGTTACAGCATTCTTTGTTATATCATAACTGTTGGGTGTTACTTTGTAGGTCTTAATTGCTATAGAGAGACAGAGAGTAGTGGAGAAAGAGGCAGAAACCAAGAAGAAGATGGCTATCAGTGAGGCTGAGAAGAATGCCAATGTCAGTAAGATTCTTATGGAACAAAAGTTGACGGAGAAGGACAGTGCTAGGAGACAGGAGGAGATTGAAAACCAGATGTACACAGCTCGGGAAAGGAGCCTTGCAGATGCTGATTTCTACAAAGTTATGAAGGAAGCTGAAGCAAACAAGTTGAAGCTTACTCCACAGTTTCTTGAGCTTAAATTCATCGATGCCATCGCTGATAACACTAAAATTTTCTTCGGAGACAAGGTCTCTCTCTCTCTGTTTTTTTTGCACATTACTTGTATATGTGTGTCTTTGTACGAAACAGTACTCAGTGGTGACTTTGCTTTGCAGGTTCCTAATATGATTTTGGATCAGAGGTTGCTGGGGAACTTCTTACAGGTTCCGGCGGAGGTGCCAAAAGAAGTTTCCGGGGAAGCTAACTGAGAAGCTGGTGCTGCAATTTCCTTTCTTTTTTCTCTTCGGTTAATTGTCCGCATTTGATTCTTTTTTGTCTGTTAGGGCCCGTTTGGTGGGCTGGATGGGATTGGTTATGATCAATTAAAATAGGTTTGAATCCTGTACATTGTTTGCTGTGTCAAAATATGAGATGAACAGTACTAGATATGATGGGGTTATGAATCTACAGTAAAGTGAGTTATCTAACGTATCGTTATACATAGATTATAAGTCATGTCTTATATGTCATTGCCAGTCCAATTCTATTTCAAGGGCCTAATTCCATCCGGTCGACCTACCTATTTGGTGGGTTGACCAGAACATGGTTGGGATTAAGTCTAGTCTTGTCCCGTAGAGTCTGGCTGGAGGGACTTTTCGTTTCTCTATTATGTAGATGAGGCGATAATCTAATCCCATCATTATTAAGTTCACCAAACTGACGTATAAGAGTATAAAATTTGAGGCCAGTATGTCATCGTTAGATACGTTATTTTATTATGCACGTAACAAAGATAACGTATGAGTTGCAGTTAATGATTTGGAAGTGATAGTATTCAAATTTTTTTGGAAGTTTTAATGAAACACTTCTGTTATTGTTTACTTTTAATGAAAATGACATTTGTACTTTAAAAAATTATTCATGGTATTATTCACTTACAATATTTTTTTGTTCTTTTAATTAAAACCCAAAATTTTTAAATTTTTTTGTATTAGTTTTCTTAATTTTCTTTCGATGGTATGTTGATGTCATCGACCCTTTTGTTATCATTATGGATACTCTCTCTTTTTCTGACGTGTTAGTGTTCAGTTAAAAAAGACACGTGTACGTAGTCTTGTAAATGGAAAGTTCCAATTTGGATACGAATTTACGCATGAAGAGGATATTGATAGTAAGATGACGTAGCATGCCATTGACTACACATAGATGCTCGTATTTGTTCTATAAAAAGAGACCGGTTGTTGGTTTCGTCACGATAGTTTACTTCTTTTTTTTTATTTAAATGGTTACGATAAGTTACGTTAACATCTTGCTTTGAATTTTTTATAGAGAGAAAAAAACAAAAAAAAAAAGTGTGAGAGGATGGAAGGAGAGGGAAGGAGGGGATTAGAAGAAGATAAAATCTTCGTTGTTTTTAAATGTAATTATCGAAGTATAACCTTATTACCAAAGAATATTTGGCTAATTTCATTTAGCCCTATTGAAGTTGAACAACCTATCATCGATAACAACTAGAACATAATGGGCCAATATGCTTGACTATTCAATAATGAAGAGGGCATGTTTCTAAAAAAAATTATTATTTGAATCACAGAGCTTTGTGTTTATGATTATAACTGTTCAAATTCTAAATCACTGTAAACATCATTTCTATAAAAAAAACGATTAAAACTAAAGTCATTTAGTCAATCTATTATAACAAATACATAAACAGTTTGTAGTACATCTGACGTTAGTTTATTTTAGTTTTTGTAAAGATGATCTTGATAGCGTGATTTATAATATACCCGGTTCTTATCATAAAAACAAAATTCTATGAATTTACAACAAACAGTTTTGAGTAGCAACTCTTACTCATCATTTAGGGAGGTGTATTCAATTGGGAATTGAAGAGATTTTAATGGATTTATAATCCACGAATTTTTATGGAGTTTAATTGATTTGTAGAGATTCCATGTAAAATTTTGATTCAATTATCTCGAAATATCATAGGAAGATGAGAGATTTGTGGATGCTTAAAATACACTACAAAATCTCTCAAATTCCCTCTAATTCCTCAACTTTTTGAAATTTTTTAAAATCAAATTTTAATTGAATACACTTTGAATGTTATAAATTTTTTTAAAATCTTAATTGAATACACCCAGATTTCTAAAGATTAAATCATGATTAAATAGACATTGAATTTCAGATAATCACTTAAAATCTTGATTGAATACCCATAAATTCATTAAAAGAATTAAAATTCCTTAAAATCTCAATTAAATACACCTGTTAGCTAACCACATATCATTCGCCCAATATAGAAAACAAATAGGGGAAACTTTGTCGTAAGCCAGCCTCCATCGGTTCCATTTTTCATAAAAAAATATCGGCCACTTGCAACCTTGTAATTTGTATCAACAATACAACTGTATTATCTGCTTAATTGTTGTGGGGATTTTATATGGATACAAAAAAGATTCCGTTAAGATTCGGAAGGATGGTATCGTATAATTAGAAACTTTTAAAAAATAAAAGAGACGAAATTACGGTGTTATTCATAATTTTGTGGCTTGATAAAAATTTAGAAAAATTAATAAAAATAAATTAAAAATTTTGAGTTTTAACAAAAAGAACAAAAATGTGCTCTAAATGAATGGTACCAAGATTGATTTTTTAGAGTAAAAATGTAATTTTTTGTTAAAATAAACAGTACCAAAAGCTTTTTGTCAAAATTTTTTAAAAATTTAACACTAATTGGAGCTGTCAATTTTTAAATTTAGCGAAAAGTCAAAGATATTTGCTCGACTTTTCTTTAAACGGTGGGATTTAATTCACAAAAGTACGGCCATATGTTGACTAATTTGAGCAACGTGACATACAGACGTGGAAATTTCCACCGATGCAAAAGCCGTATCTGAGGAAACTCAGATTCAAAGATTCCACTTTACCATTTTTTTTTTAACTATTTCATAATTCTGCGCAAGCCATTTCAACGCCTTAAAACTCCGACTTCTCTGTTTTCATCTTATCTTCTTCACGGTCTTGCAGCTTCCTGCAAACGCTGCTTTTCTGCTGAGCACTTCTGCTTCATGTTCAAAGGGATACAGTGAAAGATCCCCAGCTCTTCTGAGCAGAATTATTTGCGGAGGTTTATTGATTGTTACATGGAATGACTTTTGCTTTCTGCTGACGCTGTTTTTTTGGAACATCCCAAGTTGTGGGGTTCTTCCCTTTGATTGGTAGGTGATCTTTCCCACCCCACTCCCTCCACTTACCCTTCATTTATTTTTATGGGTTTTTTTTCCCTTGTTTGCTTCAAAGTTTCAAACTGTCATGTGCTGAGTGGTGGGTGAAAAAAGCCATTTCTCAGGAACTTTTTTCTTTTATATTTGATATTTTTGGGTTTTTCTTGTTTGCCTCAAACTTGCTTCTGGTGGTTGGTGGATGTAAAAAAAGCCAATTCTGGTGATCCTCTGAAGTGGCTTTTGATCTGTCATGGTATGTAGTAATTAGTATGTGTTTGAAGTCTACTAGTTTCCTGCAACACTACTGATTTGATGCCTATGATTTTGAAGTCTACCAATAAAAGCGCTTTTAACAACAAAAAACGCTTCTAATTACGTTGTAAAAACTTGGAAGTGCTTAAAAAGTATCTGTCACAGAAGCACCTCACTTTTTTCAGGAAACAATTATATTTTTAATAGAATTTTGGATGTGTTCTTGTAAAAGCACTTTTAACAAAAGCGCTTACGAGTAGAAGTTAGAAGCATTCCCAAACGCAAACGCTAGTATTTTGGCTAATCAATGCTCTCTCTTTTGGGTTTGTTCCAGTTCAAATTGTTCCATACGAATGAAATTTTCTTAAATCGTAGCATACTTAAGGTACTGAAAACAACCAAGAGATGTTGAATCCTGTGTGTGCTGTAAACAGGATCTTTCAGGTGTTCCGCTGCTGATTTCCTTACCATCTGAGTCGAACTTTTCACCTGGTTTAAAAATGTATGTGGTGGAGAGCAAAGGAGGTGCCATAGCATGCATGCTGCTTTCCCTCTTCTTCTTGGGTACATGGCCTGCTATCCTCGCCATGCTAGAAAGACGCGGCCGCCTTCCTCAGCATACGTATCTCGATTACTCAATCACAAACTTCCTGGCTGCTGTACTTATCGCCTTAACATTTGGTCAGATTGGCAGCAGCACGCCTGAGCAGCCGAACTTTTTGACTCAACTTTCGCAGGTGAATCTTTCATGGTTGTTATGGGAGTGAATCATTCGTACTCCGTAAGCTTAGAATGATATACATACTAAGCATATCGGATAACATGCGCAGGATAATTGGCCCTGTGTTTTATTCGCGATGGCAGGCGGGGTGGTCCTTAGCATCGGAAATCTTGCCACACAGTATGCTTGGCCTTTTGTTGGTTTGGCAGTGGTGGAAGTGGTTACTTCAAGCATTACAGTTGTCATAGGTCTCCCTCACAAGCACTTCGATGTATTCATGTTCGGAAGTTTATATGATTGGCAATGTTCTGAACTTGCTGGTGACTCTCTTCCTTTTGAATGTAACAGGCACAACATTTAATTACTTCTTGGATGACAAAATTAACAAAGCTGAGATTCTTTTTCCCGGGGTTGCCTGCTTCTTGATTGCGGTTTGCCTTGGCTCCGCTGTTCACTCATCCAATGCAGCAGATAACAAAGCAAAACTTGAAAGCATGCCAACTGATCACGTAGATGGAGAAAAGTACGTTTCTTCTTCCTATAGATTTTGGAAATTAGTGTTCTTTTCGTGGTTTGCCATATTTCTTCCTTGATTCGAAATCAAATGTTAGAACACGGTGATTTCAATCTTGCGGCTTATAAATTTTTTTGTTATGACAGGCCTTCAAATGCTTCCGTAATTCCAAGTGAGGGTAAGACATTCTGTGAAGTTATAACATTCCATTATATACTTGTGTTGTTACTGTTTATGAGTTTCGTGTTTTCTTTCGATATGTGATATCCATAGCCGGGTTGATTGATGTGGAGGGTGGAAATGGTCCTGCTCATAGTGCCAAGGCTGGAACTGCAAAATATCTTGTGCAGCTGGAGAACAGAAGATCAATTAAAGTTTTCGGGAAGAACACTTTTATAGGACTTGGCATTACTTTCTTCGCCGGACTTTGCTTCTCTCTCTTCTCACCGGCATTCAACTTGGCCACAAATGATCAATGGCACACGTTGAAGAAGGGAGTTCCTCATTTGGTCGTTTACACTGCGTTTTTCTACTTCTCATTATCTGGTACCGTTGTTGCTGTCATCCTAAACATCATATTCATTTACCGCCCTGCGCTGGGTTCACAGAAGACATCATTCAGAGCTTATGTGATCGATTGGAATGGTAGGGGATGGGCGTTTTTGGCCGGTATCCTATGTGGATTTGGCAATGGTCTCCAATTTATGGGAGGTCAAGCTGCAGGATATGCAGCAGCTGATGCAGTTCAGGTTGGTTTCATTTCATGACATAAACACATAGAGATGCATTTGAAGTGATTGTCTTGGTGACATTTTAGCCATTTTATTTACTTGAATTCGGGTTTTATAACTGCAGGCACTTCCGCTCGTGAGCACTTTTTGGGGCATCCTTCTGATGGGAGAGTACCGAAAATCATCACGAAGAACATACTCGTTGCTCTTCAGTATGTTGTTTATGTTTATTTTAGCTGTTGCAATCCTCATGTCGTCATCGGGGCATCGGAAATGAGCATTCAACTCGAAGGTCCTAGCCCGACGGCGAAAGGAAAAAGAAAAAACGAAATGTAGCTGGTTGTGAAGATGCATTCGTCTGGTTTTTTCTTTTTGGTTTTACAAAAGATAGAAAATATGGGGGAAAATTAAAGATGTAAAGAAGTGAAATTTGTAAAATGTTGTGTCGCACTTCTGTTTGATTGATGTACGACGGTGAATAATTCCATATGGACATCATTGTTTCCAGTTTCCACGTTCATTATTTCTCTGTTATTTCAGTTCAAGAAGACGCATTGAAATGGATACATCGACATTTTCCTACTCCTGAGTGTAGATTGAGCGCTTGTTTGAGATTGTTTCTCCAGAAAATACTTATTCTCTTAAACGCTTCTTCTAGAAGTGCTTCTACTATAAACACTTGACAGATTTCAACTGAAAATCTAAGTGCGCATCATGTAAAAGCACACTTCCCGAAGAAGCATCTGACAAGTACATCTACAGAAAGCAAACACAGTCAAAGCGTTCTTAGCTGTCAGAAAACGCTTTTAGTCCTTCCAAAACTGAATCATTAACAAAAAGGGCACATTCTAAACCATTGTATAAGATGATGGGAGGCCCTTCTTCCAATCAGTAGTCAGAACTGAGGGTGAAATGATCAATATCAGCTGTAAACATCTGTGTTGTTGTATACGAAGATCTCATCAATGGTGACGTTCCTGTCAAAGCACTTTAAGTCAGTTTTATTTAAATCATCGGTTTCGCCTCTTTTTACATTTTAGAAAGTTACTAATGATTACCTAGTCAATCTTTCCATCTGAAGACCCACAGATCCAATTTGCCTTCCAAACGATTGTAGGCGATAAGAGACGTTCTGTTTTCCAACCCGATGTCTTTAACTGCAATATAGGATGTTCAGCGATCCAGTTACCCAAAAATGTAAAACTGATCAGATTAATCTCTAAAATGTAGTACCTTCTGAATAAAATCTTCATAGTGTTTATCCATCCATGCCTGGCTTTCAGAATGAAGGATTCGGCGTTTTGCTGTAAGATTTGCCATGGCATTTGCATGGAAAAATGACTGCAATACATCTGTCGCTGTAGAATCTTTATGCATGACAATGCAGATGTTTCCTTTCCTCTCCATTAGCAAGTACCTGGCTGTAAAGTTAAGCAGAGAAACAACAAAATAAGTAGCAAAGTTCACAGTTGAAATTCAATTGATAGAAGTACAAAGCAGAGATCAACCTTTCTTATAATGAGATCCCGCAGAATGCAACAGGTCCTTCCTGATTAAGAATATCATTCAAAATGTCAGTCACATGCACAAAAATAAAACTTATCAAGCCATAATCTTGAATGCCTAACATCTAATATTATGCACAGCACCGCTCTTCAGCATTTGATATGAGATGACAGAAGACAGATGATTCCTAAGGCCTACAGGAAAATGAAGTTTAAGGGGCAAGAAAAGAAACTCACAGTTCCAGATGATTTAGTGAGGATACCCTGACACCTAAAGATACGTCCACATGCATTGACTCTGTCTTCTTTGAGCTCCATGAAGATGCCCATACGGGTAAAACGTGCTCCATCTTAGAGACCTGTTGAGGAGAGAGAACTGGAAACAAATTCATATTTAAAATCTCATACAATACAGATGAAAGTGACAATCTTGCAACATTGAAGTTGGATTTTCACAGAAATTAACATTTCACGGGAACCAACATAACAACCAAGTTCCCAAAATTTTATAGCAGAATGCTAGGGCAGGTTAAACCCAATCTTTCATAGGAAAATATTTGTTGAACAATCATTTTGGCATATCTATTTAATACATGACCATTGTAAAGATGGAGAATGTTGTAGTTTTGATCATGTACATCAGCAGATATGCTGTTTTTAAGGACAATTTTTTAATGACCACTATAAACTGCAGTAGCGGAGAAAAAATAGTCAGCTGGCCTTAAGGAACAACAAGGAATAGTAGTTGCGTACCTTGGCCAGTCTTCATGAAATGCTGCAAAACAATTGAGCACCTCTCAGGGTTCAAAGAATTTAATGCAAGGCATCGAACAGCCTTGTAGTTTGCTGGTGCAGGAAAAACAAGTATCACATAACTGCTCTGAAAATTACATCTGTAATTAACCGCTCTGAAAATTACATCTGTAATTAACTTTTTGCATAGTTTGGTCACTATAGCTTCTGGAAGGTTGCATGTCAGCAACCATGGCAATGGTACTTACCATACATATGGAACATGGTGAGAGACAAAAAGGAAAACCAAATAGCTAGTGGGTGTCCCATGGTAACGCGAGCAAGAAGCATACCCAATGCCATACCAACCATTGTTGCCACTGTCTCTTGACTTCCTTCCTATCAACGTAAAAAGATGTTAAAGGACAATACTAGCGAACATATATCAGACGGTCCTCGTCTAAGGATCAGAATGATTGTGCTGGTACCTTAGCAGATATATCTGCTGCATTACTCTGAAGGGCAAAATGTTGTGTCAAAGCAGCTCTAGTAGCTCCACTTGCAACACCAGCTAAATGAGAAGAAAATTCTGATCAAGCTCTATACTTGGGCAACGGATACCATATCGCATTATACGGATTACTATATTTTCATTTTATGGGACGCAGGGACTTACTGAATGATCTCGATATGCTTCCTAAACAAACCACAAAAACAAAAGCTGATGGAAACAAAGGTGAAACAAGGTCCATCAACATTCCTGCAACCAAAAAACAGCCTGTCCAGTCAAATTAAGACAAAAGGTTACACTGAATAACCTCAAACTACAAATAATATAAGGTTTTCAAGAAGATCTCCAAACTTGTAACAAATAAATTAAAAATCGGTTACAGCATACCAAGATCATTCATAAGATCTGCAACTAAGCGCCACATTTTGGCATTGCTATCCAGATTCGAACCCTGAAGAATAAGAGTTGATGCAAGGCAAGAAATGGTAAACAGATGATGAACACAATAATGAGAATTCTTAGAAAATAGCAAATTTCAGTCACGGAGCCACCAGCCAAAAGGGTACATAAAAAGCATCCAATACCATGAATACATAAGAAGGCACAAAAGTTTCTACAGGTTGTAATGTAAATAGTACATGGCATGAGCCATAAAACAAGAGTATTGCACCTGATAGAACGTGAATAAGATACCTCCAAGCATTCCAGTTAAGTCTCTCAAAAACCACTGCAACATTCTCAACGTTGACAGAAAAACAAAATGGCCTCATTCACTACGTATTGCAAGCTCAAATACTCAGTGAAGCTTTCTCTTTCACCCCCAATTCCCAACATTGAAGCTAGAAGTAGAAAATTTGTACCTGAAAGGTGGCACCAATTACCGTAGCCGATTTCTCGCCCACCCCAATAGCACTCAGCAGAGCCTTGGAGTAAATAAAATGTAGAACTAATTAAATCTAGTAATCAGCAAGGGAACTTCACAAAACTCTACAAAAATATGATGCTTACTTGTGTAGAAAGCATGGTCCTTATGTAAGTAGAAAGACCCTTGAACAAAAATCAAATTAAGAAATTAATCATCATATACAATCAGCACTAATTATGCAGTAATTCAATTTACTAGAGCAATAAAAATTAGAAAGCATTTAGTTGGTTATAATTGTATATTAACCTGGAGTAAATCCCAGACTTGGAAAGGTACATAATCTGGAGTTACACTGCTGGGAAAGCCCTGCATAAACCCTAATACCAAAGTTAATAACCAAAAGAAAAAGGCTTTAAATTTGAAAAATGCAGAAATGAAAAAAAATGAAAATACAGGATTTATAAAAAATAATTAAAAAAAAAACTTGCCTCTGGTACAAATGCTTCCAGAATTCGCCTCCAAACATGGTGGAAAGGGCTACCGGATCTTCGAATTTGGAGAAAAAATCAAACTTTTATCAGAGATTAAACGAGCTGAAATTAAAAAAAGGAAAAGCGCCGGGAAAAGGAGAACCTTTGGATGGAGAGGGAAGGAGACGCAGTGATGGTGGCGGTTCTGGAGAGTTTGGTGGAAGAGGAGCCGTTCCATTCTTCCACTATGATCTCTGCTGATGCAACTTCCATGGCCGATTGCTTCAGTGCCTCCGTTGATTTAGAGAAGCAAGCAATTGACTATTATGTTCCCTTAAAATTGTCATTTAGTCCTATAGTTTGGCAGTTTTTACTAGTAAAAGATAAGTTTTAAGTTCGATTCTCATAAAAAATGAATTTAAAAAATATTATTATGGCTCGCTTATTATGAGATTTAGCCCATTTCTGTATCTCGCCAATTACAAAGGCTTAACTTACTCGCGCACCTCTTAGTGTATCGCTTATTTGAAAAAGTTACCTCAAAATTAAAATAAAATTAAAGAAGTTACTTTAAATTAAAATCTAAAAAAATTACTTTAAATTAAAATCTAAAAAAAAAAATTTAAAAACAAACAGCTACTTTAATATTAAAATAACTATATTATTATGGCTCGTCAATTATGAGGGTTTAGCTTACTCCCGCACCTTTTTAATGTATTGTTTATTTGAAAAAGTTACTTCAAAAATAAAATAAATTAAAGAAGTTACTTTAAAATTAAAATCTAAAAAAAAAACAATTAAAAAACAAAAAATTACTTTAAAATTAAAATAACTATATTAATATGGCTCGTTAATTATGAGAGTTTAGCTTACTTTATCACCTTTTTAGTATATCGTTTATTTGAAAAATTACTTCAAAATTAAAATATATTAAAGAAGTTACTTTGAAATTAAAATCTAAAAAATACAAAACGAAAACAGTTACTTTAGAATTAAAATAACCATATTATCATGGCTCGTCAATTATGAGAACTTAGTTTACTTCCGCACCCCCTTAGTGTATCACTTATTTGAAAAAGTTACTTCAAAATTAAAATAAATTAAAGAAGTTAAATCATCATATTATTATGGCTCACCAATTATGAGGACTTAACTTACTCGTGCACCCCTTAGTGTACCGCTTATTTGAAAAAATTACTTCAAAATTAAAATAAATTCACAATCCAAAATTAAAATAAATTTTTAAAAGTTACTTTAAAATTAAAATCTAAAAACAAAAAAACAAAAACTTCGCTTGTTTGAAAAAATTACTTCAAAATTAAAATAAATTCAAAATCCAAAATGAAAATAAATTTAAAAAAGTTACTTTAAAATTAAAATCTAAAAAAAAAAAACAAAAACTTTCAAAAAGGGCGCTAGAAAAAATTACTTCAAAATTAAAATAAATTCAAAGTCCAAAATGAAAATAAATTTAAAAAAGTTACTTTAAAATTAAAATCTAAAAAAAAAAAAACAAAAACTTTCAAAAAGGGCGCTAGAAGGAGGGTTCGAACCTCCGACCTTGTGGTTAACAGCCACACGCTCTAACCAGCTGAGCTATTCCAGCGTTTGAAGGTAGGTGTACTAAATAAATATATTTATTGTTTCCGGTAAGCAACACCAACATAGTAAGCAAATTTCTTCCAATGCACTATGATTGCTATCAAACCAATTCTGGCTCAAGTCCAGGTAATTTAAATGTTTCAAGCTCAACAGAGAAGCATTTATCTTACCTCCCAAGCAAGCATTTATCCACTTTTCATCCTCACCGTCATATGGATTTCGGAGGTCAATCTTCACGACATGGCTAGTGCTGTTGTTGCATGAAATACCTTCCCATTGGCAGCAATCATGACCCACCCAAGACGCAGGAAGAGAACAAATAGTGAGCAATACTGCGGTGACAATGGCTATCCATTATGACACACAATTTTTCATTGCTTTGTTGGTAAGATGTTTAGCTACTAAAATTAGTACGATATCAAAATTTATAGGAAAAGATTATCGATATAGGCAGGAGAGCTAAAGACGAAAGTTGTCGGATGAAGAAAAGAAAAAAGGGTAACTGAAATGAGTGGCGATTGTTCACAACCCCATTTACAAGTTTGCAGGTCCCTCGTCAACACAACTGGTACCTAATTGTGATGGGTTGTGAAAATCCATATGCAGCGAAGACTTTGAATTAAGGGTCTTCATGTTCCATCACAATTCACAACTTATCAACTTGCTTACAAAAACAAATTTAGATATGTTCTTACATTTTACACCACACATGTTGGTAGACTGGTATCTACATGTGGAAGTCTTTCCACACCGATTAGTCTTTTGGTGGAAAATCCATATGGCTAGGCGGTGGAAATTCATAAATATAATTGATAAAGGGGATTGCAGGAGAAAAGAGAGTGGCAATTGGCAAGGCAGGTGAGGACGACTTAACATTTGCGGTAATTTTTTTTTTTTTTTTAAATACTAGCTATTGTTCATTTGATCACATATAATGCAGATAACAAACTTGTAAAGTTATATACGTCAACAAAATGCTACATTCATAAAAAAAAAAAATAATAATAATAAAAAAAAAAAGGTTTTGAGTTATGAGAATTTTTAAGAGAAGAATTGAAACTTACGTCACGATCAAGCAGATTCATAGCTTACAAATATCGAACTGGGATCTCTTTTTTTTCCTTACTGAAACTGCTGTTCGCACTTTTTCACTTATCCATTGAGCCACATGTCGTAGTTACTTACTATAAATTATTTGTTATTTACCCGTAATAAATAGAGCGTTTCTTGTTAGATGTAAGAGTAAACTCAACCTTCTCATACAACCAATCACGCAATCGTTAGTGAACTGAACAATGACAAATACTAATTATCGGATGAACATTGGGAAAATTAGAAAATTTAGAGGAGCTGAAAACAAAATTCAAGTTCATAGGGCAAAAGTATAAACAAGTCTATAATTGAGGGGCACTTCCAAATTTTTCCAAAGATGATGAGTTCTGTAAATTACTAATCCAGATTGCAGAGCAAAGAGGAAGAAAGAAAAAAGTTTGAATCTTTGGATGAGAGAATGTGGAGAAAACTAGAAGCTCTCACTCATGTTCTTCCCCACAGAAGAGGAAGAGCCTTCTCCTCAACACCTGAAATCCCAACCCTCTACTCCTTCCTTCAACCTTCAATCTTTTCCCTCAAGAGGGACCCACCTCCCTCCTCCTCCCTCCAATCCCACGGCGACCTCCCAACCCCGCCGCCCAAAACCCTCTCCCCCGACCACATCGCCGCCCTCGAGACCGCCCTCCACAAGTCCCTCATAACCCACGACACCGATGAGGCCTGGAAGTCCTTCAAGACCTTCACCGGCACCTCCGCCTTCCCCAGTAAGTCCCTCACCAATTCTCTAATTACCCATTTGTCCTCGCTCGGGGACGTTCACAATCTCAAGAGGGCTTTTGCCACGACTGTTTATGTCGTGGAGAAAAACCCAGGATTTTTGGAGTTTAAAACTGTTGGGGTTGTGTTGGATGCTATGAAATGTGCCAATACTGCTGCCCCTGCTTTTGCTTTGGTTAAATGCATGTTCAAGAACCGGTTTTTCTTGCCGTTTAGTGTGTGGGGCAGTGTTCTGGTTGAGATCAGTAGGAAAAATGGTAACTTTGTAGCGTTTTTACGGGTTTTTGAAGAGAATTGTAGGATTGCTTTGGATGAGAAGTTGGAGTTTATGAAACCAGGTTTGGCTGCTTGTAATGCGGCGTTGGAGGGGTGCTGTCGTGAGCTTGAATCAGTGAGTGATGCCGAGAAAGTTGTTGAGACGATGGCGGTTTTGGGTGTTCGCCCTGATGAGTCGAGTTTTGGTTTTCTTGCTTATTTGTACGCATTGAAGGGTCTGGAGGAAAAAATAACCGAGTTAGAGGGATTGATGGGTGGGTTTGGTTTTTCGGATAAAAGGATGTTTCGGAGTAGTTTGATTAAAGGCTATGTTAAGTCCGGGAAATTAGAATCTGTTTCAGCATCTATTCTGCGTTGTCTGAGTGAAGGAGATGGCGAATGTTTGAATTTGGGTGAAGAAACTTATTGTGAAGTTGTTAAAGGGTATCTTGCAAATACAGGTGTGAAGGAGTTAGCGACATTGATCATCGAAGCTCAAAAGTTAGAGTCTTCAAGAGTTGATGTTGATAGATCAGTTGGGTATGGTATTGTTAATGCCTGTGTTAGTATTGGATTATCAGATAAGGCGCACAGCATTCTCGATGAAATGAATGCTCAGGGGGGTTCTTTGGGGCTTGGTGTGTATGTGCCAATTTTGAAAGCTTATTGCAAAGAGCATAGAACTGCTGAAGCCACTCAACTGGTCATGGACATTAGTAATTTGGGGCTCGAGTTGGATATGGGGACATATGATGCTCTAATCGAAGCATCCATGTCAAGTCAAGATTTTCAGTCGGCCTTTTCTTTGTTTAGGGACATGAGAGAAGCAAGAATATCTGACTTAAAGGGCAGTTACCTAACCATAATGACAGGTTTAATGGAGAATCATCGGCCAGAGCTAATGGCTGCCTTCTTAGATGAGGTTGTTGAGGACCCTCGAGTTGAAGTGGGTACCCATGACTGGAACTCAATTATTCACGCCTTTTGTAAAGCTGGGCGACTAGAAGATGCGAGGAGGACTTTTAGAAGGATGATTTTCTTGCAGCATAAGCCTAATGAACAGACATATTTATCATTAATTAGTGGGTATGTTTCTATGGAGAAATATTTCAGTGTGCTGATGCTATGGCATGAGGTGAAGAGAAATGTTTCGGTTGATGGAGAGAAGGGTATTAAATTTGACCACCATATGGTTGATGCATTCCTCTATGCTCTTGTTAAGGGAGGCTTTTTCGATGCAGTAATGCAAGTTGTCGAGAAATCTCAAGAGATGAAAGTCTTTGTGGATAAGTGGAGGTACAAGCAGGCATTCATGGAAACCCATAAGAAGCTTAAAGTGGCAAAGTTGAGAAAGCGAAATTTCAAAAAAATGGAAGCACTTGTTGCGTTCAAGAATTGGGCTGGTCTGAATGCATGAACTCAAGTCAGTGGCGGGAGCGGGTTTTGTCAATTTGAGCTTCTGCTCCCAGCTCAACTGCATTTCAGAAACTAAAAAGGGAAATGAGGAGAAGGAACACGGCACCCTCTGTGGATTTGAATTCTCCGGCTGAATGAACAACACAAGTGGTTAGTTCTTCGATACCTGACACCAATCATGGTTGATATGGTTTAGAGATTGTATTGAAACATTATGTCATTGGGCGTCGAAGGAGATGTATGACCAGTAAGAGCTCTGGCTTGCTTGTGTTAACAATCACATTGTTGGAGGATTCTTCTGTTGCAGAGGACTGTATGTGACAAGAAGTTCTTTGGGAGTACGAAAACTCTGATCGCTAGATAAGGATGAGGAGAATCCATGAGTTTGACGATCATATTTACTTGATGTATAATTGTCACAAACAAGAAGATTTCTATATCTGATGCAGTGGAACGAAGAACTGCCTCGGTTTTTCTCTTGAGTTGTTGAATAAAGAGCCAACTCAGCCTAGCAAACCTTATCATACTTGCAGGTCGTGACTGATGTAGTGGAACGAAGAACTGCTTGGGTATCCAGGTACATAAATGTCACCACCTTTTTTCCAAACCGTCTGAATTTCTGTAATTCTTTGACAAATAATGGCTGAATATTAATACAAGTAATCCGATTTTAAGCAATCAATGAGCAGTTATTTTCATTTACCATTACTCTCAGCTTCTTTGACTTATTTGCTTGATGTTTGTAACCTTTCCTCACACAAGTCTCTGTCTTTCGGCAAAGCATTTTTGACAGTGCTTTTCATTTACCGTTACTGTCAGCTTCTCTCGTTAATGTGCTTATACAGTGTTCTGCTCACAATAACCCGTCACAACTCACGGTCATGTAAGAGGCGACTACGAGAGAGTTGTATACAACCGTTGTATGTGACAACTTTCCCTTATTACGTCGTTTCAATTTTCGGTTGCAGGATTTTTGTTCTCGTCGGAGTTGCTACTTATAGCCAACGTAGCTACGCGCAGATCTACAATTTCAGAACCAATTTCAAGCCTTTGTTTTAATTGGTTAAATTTTGGTATCATTTTCGGATTTTTTTTCAGCAAAAATAAATAAAATAAAAATTACATACGAAGAAGCTGTCAATTTGTCATTAAACTGAAGGGAAGAAAGGAACAACAGCTTTCTTGTATACACGAGCACACGATCACTACTCTCAAACTTGAAAACTCAAAACAAATTCAAGATGCCAGAGTTGTACTCGGGCAACTATCAACAGAGCAGGCCAAGATGTCCTTGTACTCCCTTGATATTCTGAACGAATCGTAGACCTTTCCGTCCTTGCTCTTCTTGTACTCGAACAATAGGTTCGAGCGATCAAACGCTGTCAGTTTGACAAACCCGTAATCATAGTCCTTGAAGATACTCCATTCCGTTTGAACAGGAGCAAAGGTTGCAAGACTCGCTCCTCCGCCACCAGCAACCACATGTATCGTGCCATTCAAGTTACCCTTGTAATTGTGCTGCTCCTTACTGGTGCAGATATTCTGCCAAAGGGAAATAGAATGACGGTCCAATTTCGAATCAAAGATCAACATATATCAGTCACAGGCAAGTAATGTGTAGAATTTTTGGCGTACCTGATAAATGGGGCAACTCCTTTCGTAGTTGTGCACATGGCCGTATACAGCGAGGTCAACTTTGTACTTCTGCCATAATTTCTGAAGGCTTTCCCTTCCCATTGGTTCCTCAAATGATCCTTCGGCGACATAAAAGCTTGCAGAAGAATAACCTAGCACGCGATGAGCCAGAAAGATCAGCCATGGTTGCTTTTGTCTATCGACTGATGCTAGGCACTCCTCAATGAACTTGTATTGCTCTGTTCCCTCCCTCCAATCGTGTTCTGTGTCCGCAATGCAGAACCGGAACATGCCATAGTCAGTGGAATACCTGGAAAATTAACAATAAAATCGTTCAAGACTAGTTCTCGCCCTATGTAACAAGTTGGTTTCGAATTGTTCCGTACCAGAACTTAGCCCTGTTTTCAGCAGGGACATAAAACATGGTCTGGGCCAAGACACCGCATTCCCCGCCTGAATCCGTGGTCCCATAGAAGGATCCTGAGCCTGGCCAGTCACGCTCATGATTACCGCTGGACGAACAAATCTCAGATCAGCACATAAGATCAAGGGAAGAAAGTAAATTTTAAACAAACTGTGCAAGCGTATTGTAGCGACAGACCTTGCGATCATGTAAGGAACAGCAGATGCTATCGGCTCAACCTGTGCCGTGAATTGGTCCCACTGCGAAAGGTATCCATTTGCGTAACAGATATCCCCAATGTGGAAAACGATATCAATTTTCTCTAAGTCTTGGATTAGCTGCTTAGTAGTGTTGAGAGAGCCACGCTGGTATTGGTTATATTCATTGGATCCATCAGCTTCATCCTACAAGGTATACCATTAGGCAAAGGACTTAAGAAACTGCTAGTAAGTTTGTTGAGTTGATTATGTTAGAAATTAACAAAAACTACGACATTAAACCAAAACTTGAAGAGAGTCGAAACCTTTCCCATGTCACCGAAGATGACAATGCGTTGAACAGAATTATGACCAGGATATGGAGATGCTCTGAACTTGTATTCTTGACTCAAAATATGGGAACCATTTGGCAATCTGTGTCCAACCTTGTAGGTGTACCTGCAAATTATCAAGAATCATGTTCATGAACAGCGGACTCCTTAATCAATAGATCTAAAAAATGAATCTTAGAAGGCAGAAGACGTGCTAAAAATTTAAAATCGATATAAAATCAAGAGAGCAACAAAATATTTTAGAAGAAAATGTAGCATACACTGTGTTGGGCCACAATTCCTTCAGAAAAGCAGTGTGTATAAATCCAGGATCTCGCCACCCCACTGTCTTTGCCGGTGCACCTGTGTTTGTAGAACGTACATGGTTAAGGCATAGTCAGGTGATGCACTTTCATCCATCCCCCCGAAGAGAGAGAGAGAGAGAGAGAGAGAGAGAGAGAGAGAGAGAGAGAGCAAACACACCACACATGGTGTTGCGGTCGAAGTTCAATGTCCCAGCTGGGGATTTCACACGGTCTTCTCCTTTTATACCCCACTCAACAAAAGGGGTTGCTTCCACGATGTCATATCCACTTGTCCATGTTACAGTCATCTAAATATCAAGTCAGACGGATTGTTTCCTTGAGAAATTACGAACACAAGCTTGTTCACGAAGAAAAGCATTTCGATGGAAAAAATAGAAGTGAAAGTGTGGGGGAGACATCACTGCAACATAGTTTTCTGTACACCAAGAGAATATCTCCAAGAAGAAAGTGTACTTACTTCATTCCACAATTTTCCTTGCGCTAGGCGTGGATAAACTGGAGCTTTCGGATTTGCGAATGCAACTTTATTTGACACTGCCACCAGCTTCGGCTATTTTATAAAACAGGCAGGTAACAATTACAGAGATTGAAGCAAGGGACAATTACATAGCTGGGAAAAATAGCAGTTCGTAGAGAAACTATTATCTTACGAAATCTCCATAAACCAAGGGCCAAATGTTTATTTTATCCACTATTTAGAAAAATGAATGTAAGGCAAAGTACGAAGGCGACAGATAGCAGCAACCAGTGGTTCTCTAAAAAAAATAGCATACCTCTGATAAACCACCCGAGAATAGTGCAAAAGCGAAGTCTGATCTCTGGTTAATCAACTGCAGTTTCAAGGAGCCTTTCCCGGTATCTTTGTACCTTGGACTTGTGTAGTTCGCGTACTGATACTGCAAAAAAGCAAAAAATTATATGAGATCAAATCTCTATATCTGGATCCACTTCAACGAAAAGCATGCTTGGAGGCCATGGAAAAGCAGCAGCACTATGCTAACCTTTATAGGTGCTGAACACAAAAATGGAGCAGAAGAGCTTTTAGTTTCCGCAGGGCAGGTCGAAGCGCTGCAAATTCAAGTAAGTCCATCCAATGCTATCAATTCTATTCAATATACGATAAAGAAATAAAGAGAAGCAATTCGTCCGAGAAAAAAGCATGCTAGAGCTTCCAACAGTTGGCTTGAGACAAACAAAGTTCCATTTACTAACCTGAAATTGGCAGGAGAAAACACTCCAATCCAGTCATCATTTGAAGGGTGTGGAGAACTGAACTCCAATGTCAACCATTCCACATACTGCCCCTAAATTATTGAGTTGGGGAAAAAGTTGCATCAATACCAAACACATACAAAGTGCTCAAAAGTACGAGTTTGTGAACAAATAAGGACATCCTATTTCCAGTGCACGATTCATCGAAAAACAGGATGATTTAGAAGTTAACCTTGAGCCCAAGAACTGCAGTGGAGGCCTTCACATAAGCATGGGAATGAAGGGAAGACACTGCCTTGTGAACAGCAATCTTTGACAAAGGCTGATCTCCATGAGACTCCACATCTTGAACTTGAAGAGTTGCAAGAAGAACCAAATGAACTGCCAAGCAGAAATATTTCAACCTTCTCATCCTGACAACTACATTAGATAGAATCAATAAGATACCCAAATCAAAATTTAAAATTTACAGAAAACCCATGAACTAAATTCACCAAATCCAAAAGAAAAACCTAAACATTTCAAACTTCACCAATTAATAACCAAAAGGGTAGCTGGAAAGCATCAAAACAAGCAAATAGGTATTAATCCCATCAAAAATTACACAAACCCCGTCTTCTAAGTTCACCAAACCAAAACTTTACTAGTTGATAACTAAAAGGGGCAGCAGGAACACATCAAAACAAGCAAATGGGTATTAATCCCAGAAAAAGTTACAGAAAACCCATCATCTAAATCCACCAAACCAAATAAAAAAATTCCGAACTTTTCAACTTTACCAATCGAAAACCAAACGGGCGGCTGGAAAAAATCGAAACAAACAAATGGGTATTGAAATTCCAGCAAGAAAAACCAGATGAAGTAGAATTTTCAGAACCGACCTGCAGCGAAAGGTTGGTGAAACTCAATCCTGAAGCTAAAGAAATGCCGGTGAACTGTGTTTGAACTTTGACGTGTGGTGTGGTGAGGGTGGCTTTTTAAAGGTGGCAACTAAATTGGATTTCTCGAATATTTGGAGAGAAGATTCCGATTAATCCAGATTTAAATGGCAAGTCAACTTTCTTCCTTTTCAAAAAAAATCCTCTCGGGTTTTATATACGTTATGGGCGCTGCCACTGGAAAAGCGACTTCGAAACAAAGCGGGTTCCGGAATCCAGCCAGACAGGGACATTGCTGTCTACCTTATGCATGAAAGCCACGTGGGCAAGATGAAATCGTACGGCTCATATTTGCGGCTGCTTGAAACCGACGTCGTCTAGGAGGTAAATTACCTCCCGCGCTGAGATGGGCTTTCACAACTTAAAACACAAAACTGCATCTTGGGTCGTAGGATTAAATCTTAGCCACGTGTCATATGCTGTATTAGGAATTGGGCATGCTGAATCACCGCCTCTCATGTAATAATATAATTGGTTGCAAATTTTAAAAAGAAATTTGACCAATTAAATTATTACACTTTATGTACCTGATTGTGTTCTAAGTAGACTGCAAAATTTCTCTTATGAACAAGAAATTTTCTTTGTGGAGGAAAGCTTTATTTTTTAAATTGTTAATTTTCTAACACAAGTATCTCACCGCTTATATAGTGACACGTGGTGTACCACTCGATGTTCCGGGCACACTGAGAAATATCTTCCTATGAACGTGAAAAACCCTAATGCATATAAACATTTGTATTGACAATTTTCATGTCCTTGTAGGAAAGCGTATGGAATTATTTTTGTGGATTAAACATTTTTATCAGAGTCATGAATTGAACTCAAGACATGCCGTGTAGAATACGGGTCTTGAAATTCGTCCCCAATTCTTAAGTCATCCCATAGTGGTTAACTTTTGATCAAGATTCTAAAAAACATTAAGCACTAGTCGGGTAGTGGGATGGCGTTTAGCGCCTAGGCGGGTGGTGGGATGGCGCCTAGCGCTTAAGCGGCTAGGCAGGGTCTAGGCGGATTTAGGTAAATTTCTTATATATTATATGAATTAATTAAACTTACTATATCAGATGTAAATAATTATTGAATAATCTGTTATTTCTTATAGAAGAACATGAATGTTTTATGTACATATATTATTTATTTTATCTACATAATTTGATGGTCTAAAACATTATCCAAATAATTCATATAACATTTATATATATAATATAAATCCCTCAAACCCTATCTATATCTATATATATATATGTGTGTGTGTGTGTGTGTGTGTGTGTCTATATATATATTATGTATAAATCTCAAAACTTTTGACAGTTTTTGAAAAGACAAAAAGCAGTGGGTGGTTTCATAATTCAAAACCGTGTGCCTCTTCACCTCTTTCACATTTCCAAAGGTGGAGTCCCAGATCATCACACATTTTGACCCTTTGAAAATTGAATAACCCTTTCTATTACACCTTTTCGTTTATTCTTCTTCCTTAGCTCTTTCAGAGCCCTTGCAGAGCTTCAAACTGAATCAATGGATCTGCAGCTCACGCCACTTCAGATTAAATGTCAAATACCTTGTCTCTCCCCTCTCTCTCTCTCTCTCTCTCTCTCTCTCATTTATTCACAAACGGCAAGCTGCAGAAGATTGTCGAGGCGTTGCTGCTACGTACGACATCGAAACTTTCAGATTTGTTGCGAGAGTTGCAGCAAGTTTATGATTTGCAGCTGCCTAGATCGCCTAGCGAGCACCTAGGTGGCCGCCTAAATCCTCCCCGCCTTGAGTAACCGCTTTGGCCTAAATCGAGTCGGGGCTCATCCGCCCAGCGCCTAGGCGGCCGCCCGGGCCGATTTTTAGAACATTGCTTTTGACTCATTATATACGTATTTATGTCATTAAATCATGCGACCAATAATGTATTTAAACAGAGGAAACACTACCACATTAGTAAATTTAATAAAACTATGATCATGATTTAGGAATATTTAAGGCTTGTTTGGTATCCTATTTGAAATTTTTTATCATTTCTCAAAATATTTCTTAAGAACATTTCTTGAAAACAATTTTCTTTAAGACTCAAAAACTTGATTGGTTTGCGATTCAAAGTTTTTAAATCTTACGACTTAAACTAGACAAAAATATATAAAAAGAGGGGGTTGCAAGAGATGGAGAAAGAGGAGAGAGGAGGAAAAAAAGTAAGAGATGATTGAAGGAAAAAGAAAGAAGAGAGAGGATTTGACGAGATAGAGAGGAGAGACAAAAAATGTTTAAAAAAAGAAAAGGAGAGAGAACAAAGAAATGAGAGAGAAAGAAGAAAAGAGAGGGAGAGGGAAAGAAGAAGAGAGAGAGAGATTTGGAGTGAGAGGGGAGGAGGGAGAGAAAAGAAATGAATGAGTTTAAGTTTAAAAATTCTAAAAACTCATTTTTTATGTTTTTAAAGAATAGACTATATTTTTGTGTTAGTCTTGAGTTCAGTTTTTTTAAATAGTCCTACCAAATAAATTTTTAAGGTTTAAAACTTGAAAATTGTTTTTTACTTTAAAAAGTTAGATTCAAGTAGAATACCAAACATGCCCTTATTTGTTAATTGTTTTGTTACACCAACACATGAATAGGTTTGAGATGCTTATTCAAAAAGAGTGATGGACTTGTTGAGCACCCCATGGGTGGTAAAGAAGGTTATTGATATAGAGATGGAAAAAGGCGTCACGGTTGAGGTTACCATTGCCGATATGTGAATGGGCAACAAAGGCTTCTCTGCAAATTTTATTGTTGATTAAGGTCTTGTTTAGAAATGTTTTTAAAGTGACTGAAAGCGCTTTTGATGAAAATACTTTTGGAACCAATCATTAGTAAAATTGCAAGTAAATTCTGAAAAAATCACTTTATTGCTTCATGCAAAAAAACACATGACTAGAACTTCTTAAAAACAATTTTAAACAAGCCCTAATATTTTTTTTTCTTTATTTTTAAAAGTATTTTCAATCATTTTAAAATCAATTCTAAACAAACCTTAATATATTTTTTTTATTATTTCACTGGTGATCAATTAGTGTGATTTATGCAACTATTTGTTTTACTTAATCTTTAAAATGTACTCTTATCATTTGAATATTTGTAGTATTTAGTCTTGTGCTTCTTGCGTGTGTATGTTTATCAGCTCAATTATTATATATATGGATAAATTCTTTTAACTAATATAAAGTTTCAACACTAATAGTAATATTAAATCACATCACAAATTTGAACAATATTAATATAATTGAAATTGACAAAATAGAATGAAAGAAAAATATATGTACCAACAAACATTATCGATTGATGCTTGCAATAACTGCAATGTTTGAACGAAACAATTTCGCCTCTGCCTTTGTGCTCTTTGGTAGGGAAGACTGGAAGTCCAAAAATTAAACAAAGAAGTATAACTCTTGTACGCGTCAGTGGATGATTATATAGAGCCAAATATTATTTTACAAAAGATGCAACCCTTTGTCAAACAAAGTGTGCGTTGGACTCAACCAACATTTAGCATCCCCACCTGGACACAATAAAGAATAAATGGATGAATGTGATTCCGTTTTCTAGCGGTAGTAAATCACACAATCATGATTAAGAAAAGATAAAATGTTTTATGAGTCTTCTCGACTTTTAAGAAAGAAAACTGTTATAACTTCGCCATCAATTGATTATCTTTTTAAAAAAAAAAAAAATATCAATGTCATTCCACACTTACCACTTTTCAAATTTAGCGTGATGCAGTACTAAACTATTAAATTTTATTTGAAAATTAAAATATCAGATAAATATTATAACAACATTTCAAATCTATCACGTTAATCCATTTGTAATTCATTTTAAAATATAAAAATAATATGAAAAATATGATAAGTGTAACGTCATTTCTCAAACATATTCGTCAATCCAAAGCTAACATAACAACAAAAAAGAAAGAATTAAAAAACCCGGCAAAAAAACGACAACTTCAAAATGCACGGCAGCGCCTTACTGAACGCCCCTTAAAAAATGGTAGCAAAAGTCGAATCTTCCCTTAAGATTCCCAAAGTTGTTAACGATTTGCAATCATTGAAAACTCAGAAACCCTAAAAAAATCTTGAACTTCAGTTCGACTGCATCACTCAAAGTTTGCAGCTTTCTTCCTTTGTTCTCACAAAGATTCTTCATTTTTCATGCCGTGTGGGATATTGGGATGAAAGAAATGAAACCAGTGAGGCTGTTGGCAATTCTGTTGGTTGTTGTTGTTGCAACCCTTCAAGTTGAGAAGGCAAGCTCGCATGGAGATAACCCTCTTTCCAGAATTGCTATTCATAGAGCAACCTTTGCACTTGAAGAGCCTGCTTACATTCAAGCTTCTCCTTCTGTTCTTGGATTAAGGGTAAGCATTTCACTAATTACTATTTAGACTCTTAATTCAAAGCCTAATTTGGTTTTGGTGACCTCTTGTGGTCTAATCGCGGAGCGTTATTGACCTGTGATGCTGCCACAGTGTTCATCGTGTGGTTTGGGCTGATGGGTTGATTGTTGATGTTTTAGGGGCAAAACACAGAGTGGGTGAAGTTGGAATTTGGTACCGAAAACCCGAAAATCGATGATTGGATTGGAGTGTTTTCTCCTGCTAATTTCAGGTATATAAACCTGTTCTTGCATTGCCCTTGTGCTTAAATTTGAATTCGGTCAAACATTTAGACCTTTTTTTGAATGATGTCCTTCAAATGCTTTCCTTGCTTATTGTGTTCTGTGGTTAAATTTAATGCCTTTGGTCTGATTGGAAGTAATTCAAATTTATCCTTTTCAGTGCTTCCACCTGCCCTGAGGAGAATCCGAGAGTTTTTCCTCCGTTTTTGTGTTCTGCGCCGATTAAGGTTCATCCAGCATACGTGATGAGTTTTTCTACACTTTATAAAGAGCTGCGGATATGAACCTTAAAATGTTTCACTTTACAGTTTCAGTACGCGAATTACTCCACTCCCGACTACAAGGACACTGGAAAAGGGTTCTTGAAGCTTCAGCTCATCAACCAGAGATCGGAGTTCTCTTTCGCACTATTTTCTGGCGGTTTATTGAATGTATGTTGAAAACTGTCTTCGTTTTATATTCTGCATATTCATGGGATAACTAGATTGTTATATATTGGCTTTGTTATACTATCTTTTGATTTTTGTTTTCCTTTAAATTGAGCGTTTCGGTACTTTCACATACAAATTGTGTTTCTAATAGCATCTTGATGAATTATGCAAACTCCATTTGTCAATAGTCTACAAAACTGCCCTGTGTTTTCTTCAAGTACTAGCTAATCAATCCTGTTGCATACATTTAATCTAGCTGGAAAAGGTTTCTTTTGAAACTGTTTGACGAACTGAACTCATTGAATTAATTATGCTGCAATTTTTTGATTCTTTCTTTTCTGCTCAATAGCCAAAGGTGGTGGCGGTGTCCAATCATGTAGCTTTCGCCAATCCAGATGCACCAGTTTACCCGCGCATAGCACAAGGAAAAGATGGAATGAAGTAAGTTATAGTCCCCGACTCCCCGCCCCAGTTCAAATCCTCAAAGCACACAGCATGCATATTTAAAGAGGTGTTTTCAAAGAAATGTATATATTTAAGAAGATGGATAATGAAGGTAATCCATATGGTTCTGTACTAAACTCAGATGACCGTAACATGGACAAGTGGATATGGGATCAATGACGCAGAACCTTTTGTTGAATGGGGTTCGAGAGGAGAAACTACGCGTTCCCCAGCTGTGACGCTAACTTTTGATCGTCGTAGCTTGTGTGGTGTGTAACTCTCTTGCGCCTTGTTTCTATTTTGAATTCACCCATACAAAAAGGGAGAAGAAAAGAGAAAACACGATAATCTACACTCGTTTTTATTAATGATAGTATTGGAATGGCTAATTTATAAAGTGAAGATAAAACCAGTATTCGTAACAGCAAAACCAGTTGTTAGTCTATAACCTTTGCTGCCGAACGTGTAACAATATTCATAGAATGTAGGAGCCTACAAATACTCGAAGGTAAATTTTTGCATTGTTAAATCCTTCTTTAAACTTTTGTGGATTTACGGTTTATCTTGTCAATGTACGTATGCAGGTGCACCAGCAAGAACAGTGGGATGGCGTGACCCTGGATTCATACATAATAGTTTTCTGAAGGAGTTGTGGCCAAACAGACAGTATGTTAAATTCTGCATATACAATTTTCTTGAACGAGGAGTGAGTTTTATAGTAACATGTTAACTACACGAGTTTACGATACAACCATGAACTATTCAATGAGTACAATGTCATATTTCACCAACAGCTGTTGGATTTTATGGCAAAACACCGGTTAAAATGAAGATCACTTTTATGCAGGTACACGTACAAGCTGGGGCATAGATTGTTTAATGGTACATACATTTGGAGTCGAACGTATCAGTTTAGAGCATCCCCTTATCCTGGTCAAAATTCTTTACAGCGTGTAGTCATTTTCGGTGACATGGGAAAGGTTCAAACTCACTCCAAAAGTCTGTTCGTTTCAATGAAATTTTTGATCCCATAATGATTTTTGTTTCTTCTTATGGTACTACATCCTCATATTTTACCATGCAGGATGAAGCTGATGGTTCCAATGAATACAACAACTTCCAGCCAGGTTCACTTAACACTACTAAGCAACTTATTCGAGACTTGAAAAACATCGATATAGTCTTCCACATTGGGGATATATGTTATGCAAATGGTTATCTTTCACAATGGGACCAATTTACCGCACAGGTCGAACCAATAGCATCAACTGTTCCTTACATGATTGCAAGGTTTGCACCATTGTTTAATTTCCCGACTTGCTTTGAACAATCTGTCATCTTTATCTAATTTCGGTGATTTTTATTTTTTCTTTCAGTGGAAACCATGAACGAGACTGGCCAGGAACGGGTTCTTTCTATAAGAACATGGATTCAGGAGGTGAATGCGGTGTGTTGGCTGAAAATATGTTCTATGTTCCCACGGAGAATAGAGCTAAGTTTTGGTATGCCAATATCGTGTCAGAAATCTGTCAATTTTGATTAGATCTTCATTTCTGAGAATGTTATTTCTTAATTCAGGTACAAGACGGACTACGGCATGTTTCGCTTCTGCATAGCAGACACGGAACATGACTGGAGAGAGGGCACAGAGCAGTACAAGTTCATCGAGCACTGCTTAGCATCAGTTGATAGGCAGAAGCAACCCTGGCTAATATTTCTCGCACATCGAGTTCTAGGATACTCTTCGGATGCCTCTTATGCGGTAGAAGGATCATTTGCAGAACCAATGGGGAGGGAGAGCCTCCAAAAACTCTGGCAAAAGTATAAGGTCGACATTGGCATCTACGGCCATGTCCATAACTACGAAAGAACCTGTCCCATATACCAGGTACATTTTCCCATTGCGTAAATAGGAAGCAAGTAGAATATTTTCAAGTTACAATAAAAAATTTCTGTTGTTTCGGCGACAGAATATTTGCACCAATGAAGAGAGACACCATTACAAGGGCAGCTTGAATGGAACAATACATGTGGCTGCTGGTGGTGCAGGAGCAAGCCTGTCACCGTTTACTTCCCTCCAAACGAAATGGAGTATTTTCAAAGACTACGACCATGGATTCGTGAAGCTCACAGCATTCGATCACTCGAACCTTTTGTTTGAGTACAAGAAGAGCAGGGACGGGCAGGTTTACGACTCGTTCAGAATATCCAGAGATTATAGGGACATCTTGGCCTGCGCCGTTGATAGCTGCCCTAGCACCACACTTGCCTCATGATCTGGAAAGTAAATATTTGTTACTACAGAGTGAAATAAACGGATCATTACCAGCTGTCACAAAATAGTGATCTTTTTATGTATATAAAAGTAAGAGATTATGGTAGTTAATCAGGAATATTAGTGTCTAATTATGCTAATTAACCTTTTTAATTTCCTATCCAATTAGAACGTGCTGTGAACGTTTCTGTGGTAGTTCAATGCACCTGCTATGTATTACCTAATTTTTTCATGTTTTCTAGATTTCCTTCAATATTTAAAACCTACAAGCCATCAGGAATCAGGATGACCAACTTCCCAGTTTGACTCTCAGCCTAGAACACTGCTTGGCTCCTCACGTGTGAAGGAATTATTCTTCCTTAGTGTCAGTGTAACGTGTATAGAAAAATATCTCGTTAAAACCGGTTCAAGTTTTCATGCGTGAGTGAGGAAGAACAACTCCTTACATGTGACCAATTATTAATATAGCCGTTGTGGATTCGCTATCATTGGGTTTCCTTAGACGACGTTACCAACCAACCATTTTTGAAGGAAGAGTAAAAATTGAATGTCCTCCCTTTTCTTCTTCTTTTCGATCAAGACGGACAGATTTCACCAAAAACCCTTTCGTTTTTGGGTTTTGAAGATCGGAATTGACCAAAAAAAGAGGCTTTTATTTGGATTTATGGATTCTGGCAGCTGCAACTGGGGCTGGTAAGGTGGAGAAGCATAATTTGCACATATAGTTTTCCAGAGAAAGGAAAGGTGTAGCAGATCAATCAGTTCATGATGGTGAGCAGCTGACTGAGTCTTCTGCGGAATTGGTTTCTGATTATGTTGTGGCAGAAAAAGCTGGGTTTCTTTTCCATCAAAGACTAAAGAAAAGCAGATATCTTAGAGTTAAATCAAAAGGGCTTTCTCTAAATGCACTGAACTCTACAGAAAGCTGCTTATTGGCTCGGGTGGTGTTGTATTGGGAAAATGCCAGAGTGGAAGATGATGTGTATAGCTCATCATGTGCCGCACCTTGTATTTGGCAATGAGGCCATTTTTGGGAGCAATGGCAGCCAAGTCAATGACGTGTGTGGTTAGAGAGTGAGGAAAAGTGGCGGTGGCGTCGGGGAAGGATGAGGAAGAGGAGATGTAGCAGCTCAACTAATCTGGTGGTTGACGGCCCGTTTGATTCACAGGTTTTACGTTGTTCTTATTAGTAATCTGTTATCTGTACTTCAAAAAAATCATTATGCACTCTTCTGACGAAAAATAAGAAAAGAAATGAATCTTTAATGACTACTGGTGTAATATATACTCTTAGTGCAGGTAAAAGAGAAGTTGACAAGTTGAATGAGTTGTTGAAGCAGACTCAGAAGTTGGTCCAAAGTTTACATGAGGAGGAGGGGCGTTTTAAATTCCAGGGATTAACATCACTCCTCAAAATAATATAGTTATAGTATGAAAGTATGTTTAATGTTAAAATTGTGAGAATAAATGCCTCTAGTGGTATAATTGTTATTATATGATGTTTTCAAAAATGTTACAGTAGTGTAATTGTTATCTTGTGAATTTTTCAAAAGTTGCAATCATTTCATTTTTTTAGTTTGTCACGGATGTAACTCTATATAAAAAGCATTTTGTATGTGATTACAAAACAAGTGAAATCAATAATATCACTACCCCTCCCTTCCTCTTTTTTCTGCAATCTTTTTGTGTTATAATTACGAAATTAAATAATATAATATTTTACATCCACTTCTCTTATGTCTCTAATAAAAATTATCTCTCTAACTTTTAACCATTTATAACATTTAAGTGTAATATCACTCCTCAAATCATAATGTTGTTCGGTGCGAATCAAAAGCTCGGAGCACATGGTATTAAAAAACCCGGTTCAAAATGCACAGCACATGTTGACTGAAATGCCCTTTGAAAAAATGGGAGCAAAAGCCGAATCTTCCTTAAGATTCCCAGAGTTGTTAAGTATTTGCAATCATTGGGAACTCGGGAACTCAGAAACCCATAAAATCTTATACTTCAGTTCAACAGCACCAGCATCACTCAAAGTTGGCAACTTTCTTCCTTTGTTCCTAAAAGATTCTTCTTTTTTCATACTGTGGGGGAAGTTGGGATGAAAGAAATGAAACAAGTGAGGCTGTTGGCAATTCTGTTGGTAGTTGTTGTTGCAACCCCTCAAGTTGAGAAGGCAAGCTCGCATGGAGATCACCCTCTTTCCAGAATTGCTATTCATAGAGCAACCTTTGCACTTGATGAGCTTGCTTACATTCAAGCCTCTCCTTCTGTTCTTGGATTAAGGGTGAGCATTTCACTAATTGCTATTTACAAACTCTTAATTCAAAGCCTAATTTGGTTTTGGTGGCCTCTTCTGGTCTGATCACGGCGCTTTATTGACTTGCGATGCTGCCACAGTGTTCATCCTGTGGTTTGGACTGATGGGTTGGTTGTTGATGTTTTAGGGGCAAAACACAGAGTGGGTGAAGTTGGAATTTGGTACCGAAGACCCGAAAATCGATGATTGGATTGGAGTGTTTTCTCCTGCTAATTTCAGGTATATAAACCTGTTCTTGCATTGCCCTTGTGCTTATATTTGAATTCAATCAAACATTTAGACCTTTTTTTGAATGATGTCCTTCAAATGTTTTCCTTCTTATTGTATTCTGTGGTTAAATTTAAGGCCTTTGGTCTGATTGGAAGCAATTCAACTTTTCAGTGCTTCCACCTGCCCTGAGGAAAATCCGAGAGTTTATCCTCCGTTTTTGTGTTCTGCGCCGATTAAGGTTCATCCGGCATACCATGTGATGATTTTTTCTACATTGTTTACAAAGAGCTGCAGATATGAACCTTAAATTGTTTCACTTTACAGTATCAGTATGCGAATTACTCCACTCCCGACTACAAAGACACCGGAAAAGGGTTCTTGAAGCTTCAGCTCATCAACCAGAGATCGGACTTCTCTTTCGCACTATTTTCTGGCGGTTTATTGAATGTATGCTGAAAACCGTCTTTGCTTCTGCATATTCATGGGATAACTAGACTGTTATACATTGGCTTTTGTTGTACTGTCTTTTGATTTTTGTTTTCCTCTTAAATTGAGCGTTTTGGTACTTTCGCATACAAATTGTGTTTCTAATAGCAGCTTAGTGAATTATGCAAACTCCATTTGTCAATAATCTACAAAAACTGCCTTGTGTTTTCTTAAAGTACTAGCTGGTCAGTCCTGTTGCATACATATAATCTGGCTGGAAAAGGTTTCTTTCGCAACTGTTTGACGAATTCTCCTGTCTCTATGGTTGCTTTTTCATGTGTTTGTCTTTCACACATGGAAGACTAATCTGAGTACTGTGGTTTCTGAAACTGAACCCGTTAAATAAATGATGCAGCAATTTTCTGATTCTTTCTTTTCTGCTCAATAGCCAAAGGTGGTGGCGGTGTCAAATCATGTAGCTTTCGCTAATCCAGATGCACCAGTTTACCCTCGCATAGCACAAGGAAAAGAATGGAATGAAGTAAGTTATAGTCTCTGCCCTAGTTCAAATCCTCAGAGAACACAGCATGCATTTTCAAAGAGTATATATATTTAAGAAAACGGTTAATGATCCATATGGTTCTGTACTAAACTCAGATGACCGTAACATGGACAAGTGGATATGGGATCAATGATGCAGTACCTTTTGTTGAATGGGGTCCTAGAGGAGAAACTACGCGTTCCCCAGCTACGACGCTAACTTTTGATCGTCATAGCTTGTGTGGTATGTAACTCCCTTGCACCTTTTTTCTATTTTGAGTTCACTCATACAAACAGGGAGAAGAAAAGAGCAAGCACGATAATCTAAAGTCGTTTTTGATTTGTAGTTAATTAACGATAGATTCTTGACATTGCTAATTTATAAGGTGAAGATAATACCAGGATTTTGTGACAGTAAAACCAGTTGTTAGTCTGTCATCTTTGCTGTCGAACATGTATCAATATTCATAGAATGTAGGAGCCTACAAAGACTTGAAGGTAAATTTTTGCATTGTTAAATCCTTCTTAAAACTTTTGTGGCTTTACAGTTTATCTTGTCAATGTACGTGTGCAGGTGCACCAGCAAGAACAGTGGGATGGCGTGACCCTGGATTCATACATACTAGTTTTCTGAAGGAGTTGTGGCCAAACAGACAGTATGTTAAAATCTGTATATTCAATTTTCTTGAACGAGGAGTGAGTTTTATAGTAACCTGTTAACTACACGAGTTTACGATACAACCATGAACTATTCAATGAGTACAATGTCAAAAATTTCGCAATCAGCTGTTGGATTTTATGGCAAATCACCAGTTAAAATGAAGCTCACTTTTATGCAGGTACACGTACAAGCTGGGACATAGATTGTTTAATGGTACATACATTTGGAGTCGAACGTATCAGTTTAGAGCATCTCCTTATCCTGGTCAAAATTCTTTACAGCGCGTAGTCATTTTTGGTGACATGGGAAAGGTTCGAACTTGCTTCAAAAATCTGTTCATTTCACTGAATTATTCTACCCCAAAATGATTTTTTTTTTTTCTTCTTATGGTACTAAATCCTCATATCTTACCATGCAGGATGAAGCTGATGGTTCCAATGAATACAACAATTTCCAGCCAGGTTCGCTTAACACTACTAAGCAACTTATTCGTGACTTGAAAAACATCGATATAGTCTTCCACATTGGGGATATATGTTACGCGAATGGTTATCTTTCACAATGGGACCAGTTTACCGCACAGGTCGAACCAATAGCATCAACTGTTCCTTACATGATTGCAAGGTTTGCACCATTGTTTAATTTCCTTACTTGCTTTGAACAAGATATCTTTATCTAATTTTGGTGATTTTTATTTTTCCTTTCAGTGGAAACCATGAACGAGACTGGCCAGGAACAGGTTCTTTCTATCAGAACATGGATTCTGGAGGCGAATGTGGTGTGTTGGCTGAAAATATGTTCTATGTTCCCACAGAGAACAGAGCTAAGTTTTGGTACGCGAATATCGTGTCAGAAATCCTCAATTTTGATTGGTCTTCATTTCTGAGGATGTTATTTCTTAATTCAGGTACAAAACTGACTACGGCATGTTTCGCTTCTGCATAGCAGACACGGAACATGACTGGAGAGAGGGCACGGAGCAGTACAAGTTCATCGAGCACTGCTTAGCATCAGTCGATAGACAGAAGCAACCCTGGCTAATATTTCTCGCACATCGAGTTCTGGGATACTCTTCAGATTTCTATTACGCAGAAGAAGGATCGTTTGCAGAACCAATGGGGAGGGAGAGCCTCCAAAAACTCTGGCAAAAGTATAAGGTCGACATTGGCATTTACGGCCATGTCCATAACTACGAAAGAACCTGTCCCATATACCAGGTACATTTTCACATTGCATAATTAGGAAGCAAGTTAGAATCTTTTTAAGTTACAATAAAAAATTTCTTGCGTGTTTTCACAACAGAATATTTGCACCGATGAAGAGAAACGCCATTACAAGGGCAGCTTGAATGGAACAATACACGTGGTTGCTGGTGGTGCAGGAGCAAGCCTGTCAACGTTTACCGCTATCCAAACGAAATGGAGTATTTTCAAAGACTACGACCATGGATTTGTCAAGCTCACAGCATTCGATCACTCGAACCTTTTGTTTGAGTACAAGAAGAGCAGGGACGGGCAGGTTTACGACTCGTTCAGAATATCCAGAGATTATAGGGACATCTTAGCCTGCACTGCTGATAGCTGCCCTAGCACCACACTCGCCTCATGATCTGGAAAGTAAATTAATATTTGTTACTACAGAGTGAAATGAACGGATCATTACTCTTTCCATGTATATAAAATTGAGAGATTATGGTAATTAATCAGGAATATTAGTGCCGGCTAGTTAACATTTTATAATTTCCTATCCAATTAGGACGTGCTGTGAACATTTCTGTCGTAGTTCAATGAACCTGCTATATATTACCTAATTTTTTTTTTTTTCATATTTTCTGGATTTCCTTCAATATTTAATACCTACAAGCCATCAGGATGACCAACTTACCAGTTTGACTCTAAGCCTAGAACACTGCTCGGCTCCTCACGTGTGAAGGAATTATTCCTCCTTAATTGTCAATCTAACATGTATAGAAAAATATCTCGTTAAATCCGGTTCAAATTTTCATACGTGAGCAAGGAAGAACGACTCTTTGCGTGACTAACTATTAAATATAGCCGTTGTGGATACGCTATCATTGTTTTTCCTTAGACGACACCACCAACCATTTTTGAAGGAAGAGTAAAAATTGGATCTCCTCCCTTTTCTTTGTCTCTTCGATCAAGACAGACAGATTTCACCAAAAACCCTTTTCGTTTTCGGGTTTTGAAGATCAGAATTGACCAAAAAAAGAGGCTATGGATTTTTGGATTATAGCAGCAGCAGCAACAGCAGCCACTGGGGCCGGTTACGTGGCGAAGTGTTATTGGCACAAATGGTTTTCCAGAGAGAGGGAAGGTGTATCAGATCAATCAGTTCACGATGGTGAGGAGCTGACTGAGTTTTCTGGGAATTGGTTTCTGATTTTGTTGTGGCAGAAAAAGCTGGGTTTCTTTTCCATCAAAGACTAAAGAAAAGCAGATATCTTGGAGTTAAATCAAAAGGGCTTTCTCTAAAAGCACTTAATTCCACAGAAAACTGCTTATTGGCTCAGGTGGTGTTGTATGGGGAAAATGCCACAGTGGAAGAGGATGTGTATAGCCCATCATGTGCATCACCTTGTATTTTGGCAATGAGGCCATTTTTGGTTAACCATGGCAGCCAAGTCAATGACGTGTGGTTGGAGAGTGAGGAAAAGGCGCGGTGGCGGCAGCGAAGGAGGAGGAGGAGATGTAGCGGCTCAACTAAACCGGTGGCTGGCAGCCCATTTGATTCACTAGGTTTTGCCCTATTCTTATTAGGAATCTGTTATCAATACTTCAAAAAAGTCGTCATGTACTCTTTCCCGACGAAAAAAATAAGGAGGAGGAATGAGTCGTTAATGACTATTTTGGAGTCGTAATAACAATTCCCTTCTATTCGCATGACGTTTATGCTTAATTTTTACTTTTTCAGGTTCAAAAAATGGACTGCTGCTTTTCTTTGTTGGAATCACTATTGGAGCAATATATACTATTAGTGGACGTAATAGAGAAGTTGACAAGTTGAATGAGTTGTTGAAGCAGACTCAGAAGTTGGTCCAAAGTTTACATGAGGAGGAGGAGGGTTTTAAATTCCAGGGAACTGAGAAGCAGATCATTACCTCCTTCGATGTACGAGAATCTGAGAGATCGAACATATGTGTTGCGAAAAGGCTCGATGATCAGATGGAGGACGGTGTCGAAGCAATGAGAAAAATTGAGGCAGAGCTCCTAGCTGAACTAGAGATTTTGGAAGAGAACACTCACGAGGAAATTAACAATGGTGTGTCGCCTCAGGAGCTGAGTTTGCGCCTGTATGAAGTGGTCGAGTCGAGGCTCGAAGCACGAATCATGGAACTCGAGGCAGCTCTTGAAGCCAGTGAAAGGAAGGTGCGTTTAATGGATTTGGTATATGTACGCAATGAGGCTGATTGAACTAGAACGATGAACAGAGTGCTGCATATACGGTTGGAGAGCTGTTATTGGTATTCCACAAAAATCGTCAAACAATGTGCAGTATGATTATTTTTTCTAGTGTTGCTAACGATTCTTTGAGATTTTAAGTTAGCGAGAATTAGAAAAAGATGCAATGCATGTATAGTAGTCTAGGAATTTCACTAATTATTTCGTCGTTGACGCTCTTTTAGCGTGATAGAATTAGAACACTCAGTTTCACCACTAGAACGTGAGTCGTCAATTTCATTGAAGTATATACTTTTACTTTACAATGGGAAGATCCTTTTGTACCTAAAATACATCAGAAAAGAGAAGTACGTGAACCCACAGGCAACACCGCTAATAACCAGAACCCAATTGAATGTAGGTGGGTGATCGAAAACAGTGGCGGCAAAATTCATTCCAAACACTGCTGTAACAGCGGCAAAAATAGTAGCCAAGAAGGTAGCCGCTGTAAGAAGCAACTGATACTGTATCAGATGGTTCTGAACATTGCTCTGCCCATACAAAGCGCAATGTTAGAATTCATTTGTGCATATATTGTAGTAATTAAGAAAGCAGAAGCGTTTATCACTCCTTACCAGTTTAATGTTAATCAAGTCTTCGGTATCCTCTATGTATTCTTTCAGCTGCATCACCAAAACAAGACATATGCTGTTGTCAATCACTTATTGCCAGTTTAATATATAATCAAATCTTCATACCACCACTACGTTCTATCAGGCAGCATCACCAATAAATATATAAAGCATTCACTGAGTGTAAAACATCTCATACCGATAACAACTTGCTGAGAGTATGGTCGATGACAACAAAGTATGCTTCAAGCAGCATTTCCAGTTTATCAATGTTTTCTCCACAATTAGACGAACTCAATAAGCTTCCCTGCCTGCTTGAACTCACAATACTGGTAAAAGCCCTTTGCAATTTATGTGTTCCACTGCATGACCCCACTGGAGAAACAGGAGCAGATTTTGAAACAATTGTTTCCTCATGTGATGTGTTAGTTTGAAAACCAAGGTCACTAGAGGGATAACCCTCTGACCGTAGTTTCTTCTCAGTAAGGTACATCTCAGCCATATCACCGTCATCATCCATGAGATTTTCTATTTCATCACGGACCTAGATAAATTAGGGGCAATTATAATGAGGAGATGAAGAGCAGAGAACAAGTATATTATGAAAATTTTCTCTCTAAAACAGAAACGAATGAGAGTAAAATGAAGATGCTACTACTTCTTTTGAGGTTCTGAGAGCAAATTTTTGGTTGCCAATAGAATTACCCTACCTTCTGAACTCGTTTAGTCAATGCAAGGAGGTGACCTTTGAGTCTACGCACACGCTCCAGATTAACAGTGTTTATCGATGATGCTAGTTCATCCAGCAAAGGGTATATCTCCATTTGCAGTTCCTGTGCCTATCACATTGATGAACAACTTCATTAACATAATGGATTTGTGCTGATGATGATTCCTGCTTCATTTCCTGGTTTTTGTCAATTTTTACTTCATATGATATATGAATTCACAATAAAATTACGTATAGAGTTCTGATCGATGACAAATACATGACTAGGGACTCTACCAATCTGGGGATAGCTATACCGCCAGAACATAGTGAACAAAGAACTTCTTGGGGTTATCTAAAACATAAATGAAACATGTACCAAAATTGGTTGATAGGGTTGTGCTGCAAATAGATTGATACCTGAGCATCTAGAGACATGCAGGTTAGTTCCAAAGCCAGCTCCAATGCTCTAAACTCGAAAGGCAAGTCATCTGAATCAAATTAGACTCGTTAGAAATGCATTCAACATTGATTTTTTACTCACATACATCAGAAAACTATGAGTAAAACCCAAGGCAGTAAAAAATATGAGTTATTATGTAGAAGTAGTTTCCGTACCAGATTGATCTTTGTTTAACTCTAGGCGTTTGCACAATTCAGACTTGTACTGAACAACACTTTCATCCAGGGAATTCATCAGGATAACCTCGTCAGCAGTGATTATACACCTGATCTGTTCAAAACTAACAACAATGGCTTTCTCCCTTCCTAATATTGTAGAAGGGTAAATGAACAAAGGATCCAAAAGTCGGAGATCTCTGCCAGGCAACGAACAATGTCTCATTATAGTAGCCTTGTCAAGCTCCAAAATGCTTATATTCCCAAGCAGATCAATCTTTATCCAAGAACGACTTCCGTGACCTCTCTTCTTCAGTCCCTGAATACTTGACAGCCCACGAGCGCTTCCAGTATTATTAGAGGACGTGGATTCTGGAAGATCAGAAGGAAGTAAAGGGATTCGCGATCGTGATCCTTCCATTAGATTTTATTCACCCTTCTTTGGTTCCAATCCAAAATCAGGAAGAAGGAAACTTACACGTCGGTGCATATCAAACTGTACTAAAATGCAGCCCAAGCAACCACATTCATGTTTGAGCAACCTAGTTATCGGCGGATTTCTATATATGAAAGTGCAAACACCATATCTATGCGCATCATGTTCTTGGCGCATATCTAACAGAATCGGAAAATTGTAAATTCAACATCATAATTTCATCAAAAATACAAATAAAGAAAGCAACTTAGAATGCAGAAAGTATCAGCTGATGAACCCTACTCACTGCAAACAAGAAAAAGAACGAAACTTTAAATTCTTCTTGGTTTTCTGTGAAAATCATTTAGAAAAATTATTATAGTCCGACGTATTATCCGAAACACATATTAATCAGACAGCGCATCTCACACCCCCGACTAATTTGGTCAGTACCCAATAACTATTTATCATCCGACTGAAATAGTAGGTATAGTCAGAGCTGCCAAACGAAACCTAATACAACTCATTGAGCTGATCCAATTTCTATAAAATAAATAAATAAAAAATAAATAAATCGCTCAAATAGTCTCGCAGAAGAAGCTAAATTCAATCCAATCTAATCCAATCCATCATTAGTTCAAACTATATAGTTTACTAAACAATTAGAGAAACTCATCGAAGAAATCAGCAAGTGACAGAGAAACTCAAAAACCGAAGATTAACGAAAATTACATTTGAGCAAAGAGCTCGAGATTCCGACCCGGGATTGGAAATGGTGGGTAGCTCAAGATTGAGAGAAGCGGAGGATGTGCTTCCTCGTCTTAGTGATACAGGAGAGGCCGATGACAGTACTCCGGGAAAGCTGAGATAGCAACCCGCCTTCCGCCCCCGCCCCCGCCCCCGTCCCCGCCTCCGCCCCCATTTCCTTTTTATTTAAGAAACTAATGAAAAAAGATTTTGAAAGTATTGAAGGCTACCTGTAAACATAAAATAAATGACAGAGTGAATAGTATTAGATTTGATTTTTTAATGTAAAAATATGATTTTTCGTTAAATGAACAACATCGCGAGTTTTTCGTTGAAACTTCTTTTTATTTATTTATTTATCTAATATTATAATAATTAGAGAATTTTAATGGGATAATGCTAGTCCCCGTCCGCGGATTTATTTGTCACCTATCCAACAAATTCGTACCTAGAATCGAACAAACACTTATTTCAACACACACTTGACTAGATTGCTTAAACAAATTTATCATGTTAATGTTAAGACAAATACTCAGGAGAATCTATATGAATTTTTTGTTATCTTTTAACGTTAATTTTCGTACCAATATTATAAATATTTTATAAAAAACATAAAGTGACAGAGAATACATAAAGTGTTGTCACAACCTGAACCAGATCGGTAATAAAAACTCGAACCCGAATTCGAAACATGAATTAAAAACTAAATAATTAAAAGGAAATTGAAACAGATTGGAAAATAAATTCATTTTATAAAAATAATTCTAACAAATCAAGAATTTTTTACAACCTACAGTAAATAAATGAATAAACTTTATCTACTCTAATCTAATATAATCTCATCATGTCTACCCTCCTGAATGTCTAGTTTGTAATCCTACATAATAGAGGGATGAGCTTCAACAGCTCAGTAAGAACATGACCTCATCCTACCTACCATCCTCTTTTGATTGACAAATAAAATTTTATTAACATGTAATTTAGACGTAGTTTATATTTTCATAACCAACTATACAACTATAACGCCCTTGTCCTACTACGTGGCATCACGCTAGTGGATGAGTCCCGGCAACCGGAATAATAGGCGAGCATAAGATTGGCTTTCCAGCGCCCAAAGAAGGTAACAGAAAGTTAAACATGGCGCGAAAGGCTTACAGATACGGACTACGGAGGCAACCCAAAGAACCGCCGAAAGTTTCGCGGCGCCTTCCGTCGCCAGATTTTCCCACTCACAAACCCTAATTTTTTTTAACATCAATTATTATTTCCCAAATACCACAAATTCAGATATTCAACGGCCACAACTTTCACTCCTAATTTCATTTATTTATTTGTTTATATTTATCAAACTTAGGGTTTAGCAATCAAGGGGGTTTTCTCCTTTCTTACGTATTCAATTTGTTTTTGAAGATTTTTTTTAAATGCTTTTAATTTATTTGGGAATTTAGTAATTCAATTGAGGTGAGGGAAGGTTTAATTCTACCAAAAATATATATGAAATCGAGGCGAGGAGGAGGCAGAGGAATGCTGATCGCCGATAGGATCATATGGAATTGGGAATTTTAAGGGCTTATTTCTAATGATTCAGTTGAGCTTCTTTCCTTTGTTATCTATTTTATTTAATTTTTTTAATCAATTTGAATTTAGCTATCAAATTCATATTCTTTATCTGGAAATTAAATTTTAAAAATTTTAATGGGAAGGACCTTTTTTTCTCTGTTTATGATTTGATTTTTGTTTCCATGAAACGATAGCTAATGCAGGTACATTGGTAAATTGTTGACAACAGAATTCATGAAATTGTATATATTTTAGGTCTTAAGCTTTTGTTTTCATTACACATTCATGTCATTGGCTATTAGAAGATTTGACGCAAAACCGAGCATAGTGGCGTTCTACGATTCATACGGCCAAACCTACTTAGTGAGATAAGGCTTGGTTGTTGTTGTTGTACTCATTTATGTCATTGAAATGAAACACATTTACTTGCTCGGAATGAGAGAAGTCATGTCAGAAAAGTTATAAAATTGATAATGACGTATTATCTAGATAGGTGTGTTTCGCTAAGCATTTCCAAACTTGCAAATCATAGTTCGGTTTTATTCATGAAACTAATTTGGAAATCCATTTCATTTCACTCTGGATTAAGTACTTTAGAAGAGATAATATTGGCATTTGAAGGCAAAATGTACCAATTATTTATGTTATGAAATTTGTTTTGGGCATTGTTTCAGTAATGGACTTGGAACCTGGAAGCAAGAACAGCGAGAAGTCAGAACGAGTTGTTGATGGGAGTGAAGGCAGTAAGCACCCTGAAACACCAAAGGTCGTTGATGGGAGTGATAGCAGTAGCCATTTAACAATACTTCCAGAGGCTACTGCTAATGAAGGTGGTCCTGTCCCGACCAGAAGACTAATCTCGATATCCTCTTTGTCTTCATTGGCATCAGACTCGTCATTGGAAGATCTATTCCAAGTGGATACAAACAGAATTACAACTTCAACACATACTGCTTCCGTCCCTAAACATGATGACTATAACATTGTAGGTCCCGCATCAACATCCCAAGCTTCTGATGTCACCCATGGGTCCATGGTGCCTGGTTTGTCACCAACAGATTCCCCTTCAATCCAAACTATGGATCGGTGTGGTGGATATGATCCTTACAGGATCCCGACTTCTGTGTTTTCAACAAGTAAATCCAACAAAGAAATGGATTGGAGTGTTGCATCCAATGAGTCATTGTTTAGCATTCATTTAGGCAACAACAGCTTTTCCAGAGACCACACATTTTTTCTCGGTGATTTGGGCAAGTCTGGGGAACTGTACAAATCAGGCGAGTTGTTTTCGCTCAATCCAGCCCCTCCAGTTCCAGTGGTAGAAATTGAAAGTGACAGGATTGAAGAAGTGAGGAAATCTGGAGTTGGAGTGGCAGATGAGACCATCAAGGACATAGCAAGAGCAAATGCTGAAGATCATAGTGAGGGAAGGGTACCACCGCCAACTGTATTTGGAAAATCCCCTAGCCTCTCTCGCCGTTCTGATGGGAGTGGGACTAGCACACGCTCTTTTGCCTTCCCAATGTACGTCTATATACATTATCTAAGGTGAATTGTGCATGGATGTACCCTACTTTTCTATTGGATGTAATGCATTCTTATTTTAGGATGAGCCTACATGTAGTTTCATATGTGTAATACATGCTCACGCACACACAAAATTCCGACATATGCCTGCCTACAGAATTTTGTGCGTACAGGAGGGAGACATCATCTGTTTGTCTGTTCATGTATGCATATTAGTAACAAAGTTCGCAAACCTGAAACTTTCCTTTTATTGGCCAAGATCCAAGACCCCGAACGTGGTCCATGAAGAATGCACCCTTTGTTTATTGCAGAATAAAGAAGCGTGCATAGCCATTGTGCTACTGTTCTAATTGTAGCCGGGCGTTCTGCTATGTTACATGGCCAAGCTGCTATTGTTCGAACTGTAGCTGGGCGTTCTGCTATCATTGAAACTGTAGCCAAAAGAGAGTGTGTTGTGATTTTTCAACCATGTGTGCATGTCTCTTTAACTATGGTGGCCATTTGTCGGGCTTTAAGTGAAAACATAACTTTTCTTTAACAATCTTTCCATTTTGCTTGAAATCTATGGTCTGTGACTGGTATGTGCATTCTGTTATGCAGATTGACAAATGGGATGAAAAGTTCTGTGAAGGTTACAGAGCCGTGTCTGGAGCAGCCGCCGCCACAACCACCAGTCAGATTATCGCCTAAAAAAGTGACCAAATCAAAAGTCACCTATTGGTTTCGTTGCTTTTCTTGGTTCAAGTGGGGTTGTTCTTGTCACCGGCGTCATTGTTGTTCTTATTGTTGCTGTTGTTGAGAAATGTAAGCGCCGTGGATTCTGTAAGCCTCCTCCTTGTCCATATAATGAATGCCTAACCTTCCCTTCAGATACTTGTACTGAGGAAAGAATATGTAGAGTTTACACGAGATTGTCAGCGAATTCAATCGCTGATCGATAGTTAGCGATGTCTTCTGGATCAGAGAATTTAGTTGCAAGTTCTAGTTTCAGGTTCAGATCTTTCTTTCCGGTGTACCGTGTAATTTCCAGTAGGTTTAATACATCCCATAATACATGCATTAGCACACAACAGGGAAACTTGTTACTTGTGAGCTCCCTTTGGGGAATACCACCCGAAATCTGCAACGCTTCGCGTTTGAAAGGCATGCTGTGTATAAAGCTGTTCCAGAAAGTCCTCAAAACACTTCGTTGTCGAATTTGAAAATTTCGTACTCATGATCACGGCATATTATAAATCATTCAAAAAATCAATTTTCATAAACTATCCGCTTCTATTCAAGGTAGTTAGACAGTGTGCCCGTCCCCTTAGTCCTCGAACACTTGAATCCTTATCATATTTTTTGTTTTTTTCTCGTAAATTATTATATTATAAATTAGAGTAATTTAAAATATCATTGAGCTGAGCGTTATCAAATATGAGTTGGGCTTCGACTGAAAGGTCTCAGGCCCAAAAAACCAATCTTCCATTCCCTCCTCAGCTCCTCCGTTGCTGAATCCAGAGCTTCGGTCGTACTTTTGAACCTCAGAAATAAAAAAAAAAACGTTTTGCGATTGCAGTTGAATTTCTTTTAGTAATCTTGCATTTCCACCTTCATACATAATTGTTGAGAGCTGAAAATTCACAGAAGAATTTGAAGAAGGGAAACGAAAAAGAAAGTGACTTGAACAGCGCCGGAGCCGGTAACATATTCTCCGATGAGATTTCAAACATCGAATGCTAATTGCTAAACACTCGTTTTAAGCATTTCTTGTACATGGTTACGTCATTTTCCTGTCAGTTGATCGGGTTTTCATCTTTGTAGTATATTGCAGACAAGGTGTTTGTTGAAATGCTGCAAAGGGACCAATGTTTGTGTATATTGTATTGGGTCTTCGTTGCTGCCTACTGGATTACTGTTAGAAAGACAAAATATTTTTTCTGAGCATTCGGGTCGGTCTGTGGTCTGAGTGTTGGTTTTGATTCTGCAATGTTTTTGCACAATGCCTGCTTATTGTTTGCTTATGCATTTGATAAAATGGTATCATAATCCCATGAATTAGTACCTCTCTGAATTACGTTTTTCAGCATGCATTACCGACTGTCAAAGCATTTGTATCTGAAAATTGTCGAGTACATGTGTGGAGCAGAGTTACGAAGAAATCTTTGTTAAGTAACAATTGAATGGGATATAAAGCTGTATCTCAGTTTCTGATTGTAAGTGTTACATTTTCTTTGATATTGCTGAATTCATAGATGGAGGAGTTGTTAAAGAATCAGATATTTGCAATCCATGCACTTTCTGGTGTAGGGTCGGTGGCATTAGGCACAGCTCTTACTTACCCTCTTGATACAATCAAAACCCTTATTCAGGTTTGCTCCCCGACATCTTTGCCTAGATTTCTGATGCTTTACAATTTTTTTGCTTTGTGAAGAGCCGTGTCATAATCGGCTTCTAACCTGAATCCTCATTTGTTGTTATTGAGAGAACAGGTTGGTTCAGGTTCTAGTAAACAATTGACAACTACTCAGGTTTTAAAGAGATTACGATATTTTTCAGGAAATTCAGGTGCTTCCCCGATTTTCATTAGTTTTTTCAAGTCCTGTTGTTTTCTCTACTGCTTTCTGTTTATGCTTACGGGATTCGTCTCCTCCCCAGTGTTGTGCTTAATGCTAAGTTTGGTCTGTGATGCATGTTGTAGGTTTGTACAATGGTTTTCTATGGTTAGCAGCGGGAAGAACTTTGGGGTTGGGAGCTTGTTTTGGAACCTATGAAATTTTGACTGCCTTTTATAAAGGTAGTTCTCTTCATTTTTGAGTAACCAATAATAAACACGTGCATGGTACCAAAATTTATCTTTGTTAGATATTGACTTACAGCTTCGTGACATCTCTTGTGGTTGCAAATACATTCTTTGGCAGATGGTCGAGAAGATAACTACGTCTACGTCTCTGCGGCCCTCCTGGAGGGACTTGTCGCTGGTGTTGCAGAATCACTAAAAAGCTCTCCCTTTGAACTTATAAAACTTCGTGCCCAGGTGACCTCTGCTTCTTGCTTTCCAAACTCGGCTCCTCTCCTAGAAAAGGGAGCTGTCGCACCTGTGATTCAAAGATTGTTGCGTTGGGTGTAGTCTGGACATGAAGGCATTAAATTCTTCTGTTGCCCTTTTATCCACCCTAACAACCAGGCATCCCAATATGATGAGTGCTTTACAAGAGTACCCATGGATGATAACAGGTTCTGGGAAGCCACCCTCAGTGTTCAGTGTCAGGAAACCATCTGAAATCATCTCTTTGGTAGGATGGGGTGCATTATGGAGAGGTCTACGGCCAGGAGTTGTTCGAGATTCAGTTTTTGGTGGCATATTCTTTTCTACCTTGGCAATCTCTGCACCGTGCAATGCTTGACTGGAAGGCAGTGGGGATGGATCCTGAACCCAGGTATTAATGCAACATTCTATCAACTAATCTGTATCATAGTTCAATCACATCATAAAGTACCATTTTTTGTATTGCTAAAAGGAGCACCTGTTAAACAAAGTTGCATTGTTTTATGTTTCCCTTTTTCCTTCTTGTTGAAGTGAACTTGCTTTCTCATAGGTCGGATGATGAAATTGGTCCCCTCTCTCCTTTGGCTGTGAGTATTGCAGCTGGAATTTCTGGTTCTGTTGTTGCAGCTGTTTCTCATTGTTTTGACACTGCCAAATCTCGATCAGAATGTACTGTGCTGCCCAAGGTCTGTTACTTGTTTTTAGCAAAGTTTAGTCCGGTTTGAGCACGATGCACCTTTGATGCACGTATTGATTATGCTTAGACAACACTTGCCAGCATGTTGATCAATGAGTGTTATCTGTTATAAGGTTTGCTTTGATTGTGAATGTCGTATATTTGTGTTTTGTGGTGGGCAGTATGTCTCGACAGAGAGGAAGCTTCTGAAATGGGGAAGACCAGGGAACAGGTTTGAGAGAGTTACAGGGATCCACCCTTCAGACAGGAATCTCCTGTTCCGCAGCCTTGGGTTAGGGATGGCTCGCAGCGGGATCGCATCATTCGTCATGGTCGGAAGTTATTTCTTGGCTGCGGATCTTCTTGTTTGAAGGGCAAATTAACTTGTATAGAATGCTTAGTTGAACACATTGAAAAAAAAAAAGAGAAAGAACTGGATTTATAGGTGTATACGTTAGCTGCTTTGTTATCTCATTGAAACTGGACATCCAAAATAAGCCAAAGACATCGATGAAAGTTAACGTCGGTGGGTTGTACGATTCTTCCTCTTTTTACCAAAACAATGATAAAAAGTTACGTTAAATAACTATTTTGTTTTTAGTTTCTTCTCCTTTCACCAAAACAAAGCTAAAAAGTAATGCTTAATAACTATTTCATTTTTAGCTAACATGAGGTTATTTTTGTTCAATCAACTCATCAACTTACTTTTCTATTAACGGAGATTTTTTTTTACAAAATAACTAAAATAATTAATGATGGACGAACTCAAAAGTTAGGACCATTTTTATCAATTTTAATGTCAGAATCAAAATGAGAAGTTATACTTATCTCGAAAATTATCTTGGTTACAAAGCCTTTTCCCTACGAGAAAAAAAGAAGATAAAGATATTACGACGTGTCGTTTCCTTGATGAAGCAGTTTAAGCTAGGGTTTTAGTTGCAGAGATTTCCAAAACCTCCGCTGAATTCTCACCCAGTTCATGTCCGAGCAGACATGAATACCAGACGAAATCCTCCGACTTATTTTCCATAATCCAATCCTTCCTTTCTATTGCAATTTATAATTTCACAAAAAACCCAAAAAATAGAAATAAAAATGTTGCACGGCGGCGCTCTGCCAAGAACCTCGCCGCTCTTCTCCTTCTTCATCAAAATCCCACTCCCCCTAATTTCCCGAACCTCCCGCCGTTTCTTCCGTCCAATTCTCCGCTCCCCGAAACCTAAACCGACCCTAAATTCCACCGGCAGCTTCTCCATGGACAAAAGACTCAACCTTTGCACTCTGGCTCTCTCCGATAACTCGCCGTCGCCGTCGTCACCGGAGGTTTCCAACAAAGCCAAGAAGAAAGCGCGGCGGGAATCTCCAGAGGGGGTCCTTAGGCACAAGCTGGACATGTGCTCCAGGCACGGCCAGCTGGTCCAAGCTCTGAGCCTTTACGACGAGGCCAGGAGCAATGGGGTCCCGCTTAGCCTGCACCATTACAATGTTTTGCTCTACCTTTGCTCCTCCAATGGCGGCGGTGATGACGGTGATGTGGGTTTGAAGAGGGGGTTTGAGATTTTTCGCCAGATGGTTGAGGATAAGGTTGTCCCCAATGAGGCCACTTTTACCAGCGCGGCGAGGTTGGCAATCGCGGGGGAGGACCCGGAAATGGCGTTTCATTTGGTGAAGCAGATGAAGGGTTTAGGAATTCCGCCGAAATTGAGGTCGTACGGTCCGGCATTGTTTGAGTTCTGTAAGAAGGGGGAGGCTGATAGAGCTTATGAGGTTGATGCTCACATGGTTGAATCCGGGGTTGTGGCGGAGGAACCTGAGATCACTGCTTTGATAAAAGTTAGTTCTGATTCGAGCAGAGGTGACAAGGTTTATGAGATGTTGCACCGGTTGCGGACCACGGTGAGGCAGGTCTCGGAGTCAACTTATGGGGTGGTGGAGGAGTGGTTCAAGTCCGAGGAGGCGGCGAAAGTTGGGGTGGAGACTTGGGATGTGAATAAGGTGAGGGAAGGGGTTGTGAGAGGAGGTGGAGGGTGGCATGGGCAAGGGTGGCTTGGGAGTGGGAATTGGAGAGTGGAGAGGACTCAGATGGATGAAGCAGGGACATGCTCTTGTTGCGGCGAAAAGCTTGTCTCTATCGATATTGATCCGAAAGAGACCGAGAATTTCGCTACCTCTTTGAGCAAATTGGCTAGCCAAAGGGAGGTTCGGGGTGATTTCGTTCGATTCCAGGTGTGATTCTGCTTTCCTTGTTTGTTTGTCTTCAGTTTCTAAGATTTAAGAAAAATGGTTACCCTCGACGCAAGTTTAGCATATATGATTGCATTGACTTATCTGGTTTGCTCAAATGATTTAACTTGGTTGATATGCATCTTTATGTTCATATCTTTACATTGACGAGGAGAGCTCCGCTTGGAGGGCCTTGTGGAGTTATATGGATTGTGTGATACTGGTACTAGTGTAATACGATATCCCTATTCGGAAAATAAGTTCGTAACTAGGTCTGGCAAAAAATGGAACTTTATTAGGAGGCACAACTTTATTAGAAAAACACCAACCCCTTGTGTGGGAAGCAGTAAGGGAGAGGTTTCTTGTGTTTTCCTGTTATGTATTCATGATTTCGATAATTAGTCATTATTCGTCTATACATTTTACCTTGTTCGATTCAGGCAAATGATATATAATATGTTTGTCAGCTGTCCTGATTGATTAGAAGTTAAACTCATCCAGGAGTGGCTTCAAAGGCATGGTCCATTCGATGCTGTTGTAGATGGTGCCAATGTTGGTCTGGTCAATCAACATAATTTCAGCTTTTTCCAGGTGAGTGGTAGACTATGATTAGTTTCGTGACACTGTGTCTTTTGATTTCTTTGTATCAGATATATGAATGGGCTGCTTAATGACTCCATCTTTGTCGTAGCTCGATACTCTGGTGAACAGGTTACGCCAAATGAGCCCATCAAAGCGATTGCCACTTGTTATATTGCACCAGAATCGTGTAACTGGCGGTCCCGCTCAGAATCCTAATAACAAGAGATTGTTAGAGAGTTGGAAAAAGTCCAGTGTACTTTATGCTACTCCAGTTGGTTCAAATGATGATTGGTAAGTTTGCATCTCTTGACCGATCAAATGGTTGGACTGAGTTATTAGACATGAATAGTTGTAGTCGATATATACTGCAATTTGTTTCCATGGCTTAAATCTTCGAAAAATCACACTTGTCTCTACTTACCGAGTTTACCTGTGCCTAAAATGTAGTCCTATGCGATTTGTAGGTACTGGTTGTACGCTGCTGTTAATTGCAAGTGTTTGCTGGTGACGAACGATGAGATGAGAGACCACTTGTTCCAACTTCTAGGGACTAGCTTTTTCCCAAGATGGAAGGAAAAACACCAGGTATCATGCGTCTGCTGATTATTGTTTTCGTAGTTTAGAAGAATCTTCTGTATGTAGACGTTTATTGTACATACACAAAGAGCTTGAGGTTTTTTTCTTCGCTTGGATCCGTATTCAAAACCATCCCCCAGTTTCTCAAAGATAACAAGGGGGAGGAAAATTGAAACGGGATCTTAGCTGCTATTGGATTTCTTTCTTACATTAGCATGGCAATGCCGGTAACAAGAAATTCGAAAACAGAAGTGTGCAGTTACATTGGTTCGTTTACATTGCAGGTTCGATTGTCCGTATCAAGGCGGGGACTTAACCTTCATATGCCACCCCCGTATTCGATTGTAATCCAGGTGCGATAATCAGCTGATACTAATCTCATTTCTTTTCGTTAATCCGGTTTTCGAGCTTAATCATAACCCTTTGGTTTAGTATTTTTTTTAACAAATAAGCATCATTCTTTTTTATCATTGCGATAAAGCGTCATCTAATCCCTTTGGTTTAGTTAAATAGTGCATTGTTGATAAATACTTAAACAGGAAGCAGAGGATGGGGAGTGGCACGTGCCAACAACCACAGGTGACGACATTGAGACCCCAAGGCAGTGGCTGTGCGCCACCAGAGCCAGAAATACCAAATAGAGAGGGAGATTTTCGGGTTTTTATTTTTTATTTTTTATTTTTGAAGATAAAATATAATTCATTGGATGGACACCATGATAGCGTGATCAACCATTTACATTTTGTACGCTATAATTCATTTGTATGAGAATTTCTTGAATAATTTGTATCTGTTGATTTTTTATTGCGTTTGGACCAACAATGGGTAGTAGGAATAATAGACACTGGCGGATTCAATCAATGTTATTGGGGTCATTGAGAATAGAGCACGTAGCGTTTAAATTTTTTTGGACATAATAGCATGCAATGGCATTTCATAAAGTCTTGGTAGGTATGGGGTTGTTGTCTAAGTTTAACATAACACATTTGTCAACAGATGTCGACAACTTTCGAGCGAGCCTGTGAACTGTTGTCAATAATTTTTGAGCGAGCATGTTGACTAATGTGAATAGTTTTTGAACAAGCATGTTCACAGATGCCCATAGCAACGCAACAAAGGCATGAGTCTAGCAGCTATCCTGCTTAGTGATCATAAAGGTAATTCGTCGAGTAGTTCGAGAGTAAATGTTAAAGGTATCTCAGAATTTCAAAGAACAACACTTATTTTTTTTCGTATAAACATTGGGTTATTTTTTTATTATGGATGATCTTAAATGAAAATTAATATGAAATTTATACGATAAAAATATGTGATTCACATGTATGCATTTCTCCGTAGAGAAATGCAACTATTATTCTTACAATTATTTATGTAATGATGTATTTTTTGTGTCATTAAGACGTCTCCAGTTGTCTATTTTCCTCAATTAAAAAATAATTGTGTGTTTAACGGCAGGATGGCAGATACAGACCGCTACCCGGACAGACATGCAGGGCCCCACTATCCACATCTGTTGACTTTTGCTTTCATTGACCGACAATGGTCCCCACATCCTTATAGTCCTCCGGGGCCCACCCCCGGTCTTCCCCCGCTGGGCTTTGGGCGTTGAATTTTCCAACCCAAAAACCAATAAAATTAAAATTCAATTCAACAAAATTCACAGAAACAGACACCCCCGAAGACCCGAGTCTTCATCTTCTCCCAGAAGCAGAAGAAGCAAATTACAGAAGACGAAGAAACAAGAAGGCAAAAGCCAAAAGCCAAACGCGGTCTTACCCTTTGCTCCCGAGAAAATGAAATGCCATCTGCTTTTCAAAACCGCGCTTTTTCTCAAAGCCTTCTGCTTATTGAGTTGCGTTTCTGGGGAAGCGCTGGTTTCCGAGAAGTCGATTTTGCTCGAGATCAAGAGCTCGTTTTCCGACCCGCATGGGGTTCTCTCCGGCTGGATATCCAACAGCTTCGATCACCCCTGCTCCTGGGTCGGGGTCTCCTGCAACGACAAATCCAGGGTCGTTTCGCTCAGTCTCGGCGGCAGCAGTGGCAAAGGAGGTAATTTTCGAGCTCTCTCTTGCTCTCAGAGTTTGAAATTTCCATTTCCGTTTGATGAGTTCGCTGTTTGGAGGAAAAGTTTAGTTATTAGTGGAAAATTGGGTGGAAAGGTTTCGCCTTGGGTGGGAAAGCTCACTGAGCTTAGAGTTTTATCGCTGCCATTTAATGAACTTGGTGGCGAAATTCCGAAGGAAATTTGGGGGTTGGAGAATCTTGAAGTGCTTGATCTTGAGGGAAATTTGTTGAACGGAAGTTTGCCAACCCGGTTTTTGGGTTCGAGGAGGTTGAGGGTTTTGAACCTTGGGTTTAATAGAATTGGTGGGGAGATTCCTTTTTCGCTTTCGAGATGTGTGGATTTGGAGGTGTTGAATTTGGTAGGCAATGAAGTGAGTGGAACCATTCCTGGGTTTGTTGGTAGTTTTGCAAAGTTGCAGGGACTTTATTTGGCTCAAAATAGGTTAAATGGCTCTATACCAGCCACATTTGGAAGCTTTTGCCGAAATCTTGAACATCTTGATGTGTCGGGGAATTTCCTTGTTGGGAAGATTCCTGGTAGTTTGGGGAATTGTCGGAGTTTACGGACTCTTTTGTTGTTTTCAAATATATTGGATGGTGGCATTCCTCTAGAACTTGGTTGGATTCGAATGCTTGAAGTTCTAGATGTTTCAAGAAATAGCCTTAGCGGGCCAATTCCTGCTGAGCTTGGACAATGTGTCAATTTATCTGTTCTTGTCCTGTCGAATCTTTTTAATCCATTGACAACCAATCAGAATACAAAAGGAGATACATCAATTGATTTATCTAGTGGTTTGGACGATGATTACAATTATTACGAAGGCTCCGTTCCAGAGGAAATTACAACCCTTCCAAATTTGAAAATAGTTTGGGCTCCAAGGGCAACCCTTGAGGGAAAGCTTCCGAGCAATTGGGGTGGTTGTGAGAACTTGGAAATGTTGAACTTAGCTCAGAACCTTTTCAGCGGAGAAGTCACTGGAGTATTTGAAAGATGCAAGAAGCTGCATTATCTAAATTTGGGATCAAATAAGCTGAGTGGGAATATTGATGAGAAGTTTCCAGTTCCATGTATGACTGTTTTCAATGTCAGTGGAAACTTCATGTCTGGACCTGTGCCCGAGTTTCTGTACAGAGCGTGCCCCCAGGTGCTCCCAAATTCAGATCGTGTTCGAGTCAACAATCTATCATTTCCGTATCAAGTGCTCTTTACTTGCCAAACTCAGCTTGATAGCCATTTGCCTAGTTTCACTATGGTTCATGATTTTAGTGGTAACAACTTCACTGGTCCAATCCAACACCTCCCTCTTGCAACCGAGAGATTGCAGAAGCAGACTGTTTATGCATTTCTTGCTGGTGGCAACAAGCTTACTGGATCATTTCCTGAAAGCTTACTAGGAAAATGTGATGGATTAGATGGAATGATTATTGATGTCAGCGACAATAAGTTGTCAGGTCAAATTCCTTTGGGGATTGGTGTGATGTGCAGATCTCTTAGATTCTTGGATGCCTCTGGCAATGTTTTATATGGGTCAATACCTTCAGATATTGGGGGTTTGGAATCTCTTGTCTTTCTTGACTTGAGCAGGAACCAGCTACAAGGTCAAATTCCCGCCAGTATCAGTCAGTTGAAGTATCTCAAGTATGTGGCCCTGGCTAACAACAACCTCACTGGTGCAATTCCTGCTAGCTTTGGGTGGTTGCACTCCCTTGAGGTGCTAAAACTGTCTTCTAATTCTCTTTCTGGTGATATTCCTCAAGGTCTTGTGAACTTGAAAAATTTAACTGTTTTTTTGCTCGACAACAATAAACTCTCTGGGCACATCCCTTCAGGCTTGACTAATCTGAAATCCCTATCTACATTCAATGCCTCCTTCAATAACCTGTCTGGTTCATTTCCATTGAACAATAGTGCGATGAACTGCAGCAGTGTCCTTGGGAATCCTTTCATTATTCCATGCCATGTTCCGCTAACTGCTCCATCTTCAGATCAGCCAGATAGGAATGGGAGTTCACAACATAACCCTGATTCTATATCAGAAACTACTGGTGGTGATGATAATAGCGGATTAGGCTCAGTCGAGATCGCATCCATAGCATCTGCATCAGCTGTTGTTTTGGTTCTGCTCTCTCTCGTTATCCTTTTCTTTTATACGAGAAAATGGATACCAGATTCCAGGGTTCAGGGTTTTGAATATAAAGAAATGACTCTGTTTACAAACATTGGGGCTCCTTTGACATTTGAGATTATTGTTCAAGCAACAGGGAATTTTAATGGCAGCCACCATATTGGAAGTGGAGGATTTGGGGCCACGTACAAAGCCGAAATTGCTCCAGGAATCACTGTAGCTGTGAAAAGGCTAGCTGTTGGAAGGTTTCACGGTGTTCAACAGTTTCATGCTGAGATTAAAACCCTTGGCAGGGTGAGACACCCAAACCTGGTAACTTTAATAGGTTACCATGCCAGTGAAACTGAGATGTTGCTCATTTACAATTATTTACCGGGAGGGAATTTGGAAAAATTTATCAAGGAGAGATCTCGGAGGCCTTTTAATTGGCAAATTCTCCACAAGATTGCTTTGCATATAGCCCATGCACTTGCTTATCTGCATGGCGAGTGTATTCCGCGTGTCCTTCACCGTGATGTCAAGCCAAGTAACATACTGTTGGATAATGAGTTCAATGCTTATTTGTCTGACTTTGGATTATCTAGGCTTTTGGGAACTTCAGAAACACACGTAACAACTGGTGTGGCAGGGACTTTTGGGTACGTAGCACCAGAGTATGCTATGACTTGCCATGTGTCTGAAAAGTCTGATGTTTACAGTTACGGTGTTATGCTGCTTGAATTGATGTCGCACAAAGAAGCATTGGACCCTTCGTTTTCGTCACATGGCCATGGTTTCAACATTGTCTCTTGGGTGGACATGCTGTTAGAACAGGGTCGGGATGAGGAGGTCTTCATAGAAGGGCTATGGGATGCAGGACCCCAGAATGATCTAATCGAGATGTTGAATCTGGCTGTCTCATGCACGGTCAAGACCCTCACCTTTAGGCCAACAATGAAGCAAGTCGTCCAAAGATTAAAGCGGATCCAACCTACTTCAAGGAAGCCGGATAATGAGCAAAGTATAGAGCTATCGATCATAACCTAGAATTATAGAAGGTATGTCATGCTTGTAACTTATACATTTCTGCGTAGTCGAATTTTGGTTTCCAGTTTGTTGTTTTTCCTGCAACAAGCATATTCTGCTGAGCGGAGAAATTTTGTCAACCATGCAGTTATACTAGTATATGTCTTGAGTTCATTCGCAATTGACCATCTGTAATCTTAAGTGAAAAATTGGTAGTCGCTGACTGTCTAGTGGCATTCAGTCTCCACTTTATGGGAGGAAATCCTAAGTTCAAACCTTACGAACAACAATTCTTGTTTAAAAGAAACGGATTCAGGGTGTTCCATGTTGTAAAAGAGAAACCAGACGATTGTAAGAAGAGGACTCCATGTTCGTCTCTTCAAAGCTCATAAGAGAAATATATAGAGCTTTAATGAAAAGAAGGCAATATCTTTAGAGGTGGACAATCGCGAATACCATGAACACGCAACACATTACTGTCATGCGTGATCTTAAAATGATAAAAACAGGTGGCCGAGCGCCCATTCCATTAAAATAGTGGAGTTCCGTCCTTTCATGTGAGTTATTCTCTTTTGGAAGATATGTCATTTAAAACTCTGCGAAACCATGAATAGATAATAGATATTATTTTTATATAAACTCCATTTCTAGAACGCACCAAAAATAAAAATAAATCAATAAACCAAAAAAAAGCTATCAAATTTAAATTTCTCTCCTTTTTGTTTACAAAAAGGAAATGGCAGCTGGGTTTACAACAATATGCCTAAGCGGGTGAGTGACATCACTCCCTCCTGCATGCTTCACGAACTCTGCCGGAGACAGAAAGCTTCCATGGCATACACACATTATTCTCACTTCCTGTCCCTTCCCATATCTGTACAGAATTCCCTCAACTTTTCTACCATTTGGGCCATCTCCTATTGTGAAAACACACGGCATGTCCTCCATGGTGTTCCTCCTCGTTTCCCCTTCGCTGTTTTCTTGCGAACTAGGCTTCTTAGATGGGTTTTCTATGTCGGCTTTGGGAGTTTTGGATGCATCATCTGCTGTTCTTGTGCCTGAAGTGGCCATGGCGTTGTCCTGATTACTCTGTTCTTGCAGCAACTGGTTGCTAGAAGGTACAGGGCTTCTTCCTTCACCGCAACTGCTGGTTCCTGTGATGGTAAGGGAAAATAATGAGGGAGAAGAAGCAGCATTGTGTTTCCTCTTTTGTTCCATCCCCTTCACCTGTTTGTGGAATCTTATGATTTCAAATTCACATTAGCAAGTTTGGAAATTTAAAAACACAGCAGGTAAGAGCCTGTTGAACTACATATCAATCTATCGAAGTAAACCAAGTATTCACATCGACCAAGACAGACAGACAGAAGCCAGCCTCGGACAAGAAAGCTACTTCCATAGACTACCTGACTACATCATAAGCGTACCGTTCTTAGGATAAGCTAATCAATATGTTCCACTCTCGCATCCACGCTAGGTTTAGGCTGCGATGTCAAATGGAAAACAACCTCCATAGAACACTAGAAACTTTCATATTTACTTCTCCAGATTGCTCATACCATATCTCGGTTTGTCCACAATCCAGTTGAAGATGAGTCACCGGGGGTAATTGCACACTGTACTGCTTAGTTACAGAATTGTCGTCACTTGTGCGGCAAGGAAGAAAATACTTGGTACATCATAATCGTTCTCTAATGTATCCGTCGCCCTACCTTGGAACTACCCAGACTATTGGACAGGTTAGAGATCAGTGCAGCTGTTGCAGGCTTGCAGAATGTGCCGCAACATTCGTTCATCCCCCCTTGGGAAATACTCGGATAAAATCTGTCACGCAGAAGGGCAGAAGGGGAATGCTGATCAGCTGCATCTTGAATCTCACTTGGACGGGAAAGTGATCTGTACCGGCATCTTACAAAAATGCAGGCACAAGACACATCCCTTCTGGGATCTAAAGGGAACCAAACCTAACCGAAAACAACTGGATAGGTCCGTTAAGCTGAGGAACTCATGTCCTCTGTCGTGTTCCAAATTTTTCTCAGCAACCAACTTTGCATCGCACTCGATTAACTAAAGAGAGCGAGCACACGGATGATTAGAACACCCCAACATACAACAAAGAACAAAAGAGAGACCACATGGGAAAACAACCTAAGACTCCATCTTCTACTGTAGCAGACATGTCCTGCACTCCCATAATCCTATTCCTCAACAAAACAAAATAGAAAAACCCAGTAATCGAAGCAAAATCAACAACTTCAATCCCAAAATTCAGATTAAGAAACAGAATTCAGAAAAATTGAGATACCTTGAAGAGGTTTACTCTCCAATTCCGACATCCCCGACGAGCTTCCGCCTTGGGACTCCGACGAGCCCTGCGAATTGGGTCGCCTTCCAAATCCTTGCAAACCACTCAAACTCTCACCTTTTAATTTCACAAATGCATTTGCACCCACTCCGCCACCACTAGCAGCTTGCCTAGCAACTGCTGCCGCAACCCAGCTAGGCAACCCGAAAGGCGGGCCCGCCGTCCGATTACCCCTGACACCGCCCAAGCTGGGCCCAATTGAACCCTCAAGTTCGCGCTTTTCCTCCTCCACAGAACCCCCTTCTTTCTCGTTCTTTGAGTTCCTCTGCTTCTCCGACCTCCTCCTTTTCGCCTCCAACCGCCTCAGCGTCTGTAACTCCTTCCTCTTCCTCCACTCCTCCTCCGTCTCCGCCGGAAGCGAAGACGTCCTCATCAGCCCCGCCGTGTACGTCGGCGCCGTTGCGTCGTTGTCGTCCCTCACAAACGGCATCGTCCCGGCAATCGACGTAGATCGGATTAGCTTGTTCTTCGCGCTCTTGTCGACCCCGAACCGGCCACCTAACGAAAGCCCGAGATTCAACTCCAGCTCATCCGACTCCTCTTCCTCGTTAGCGTCCGTATATTGTAACGGCGTCGTCGCGTCGTTACTTCTGCACATTAACCTCTGCAGCAGATCTCTCGGGTACTTCTCCATTTCCAGAGACAGATTTTCCATAGCTCTCCTTCTCCCTTCATTAGCTTCACCCATGGAAAAAACAGATAAATATATATATGTATGTGTGTATATATATGCTTCAGAAGCTATATGTATGTATCTGCAGATTCGAAAGGTTGAAGCTTTGATCGGCAGAACCCATGAGCAGAAACTTGTTTTAGATGACAGTAGGAAAACGCTCGCAGCATTCGGTTCAAATCCGATTCAGGAACGACGCACCAAAGAAAGCCGTTTCCCTCTCTGCTACTTTATGAGTCGTCCGTTTTCAACTCGGCCGAGTTTCTTTCCCAACTCGAGAGATATCCGAGATTACGGATTTTGAAAGGAAAAACAGAAGCAGAGAGAACGAAAGCAGAAAGTTTCGATAAAAAAAAAATAAGAAAACGAAAGAAGAAAGTATTGCATAAAAAACGGAAAGGGAAAGAAAAGCAGAGACAAAGGGAGAGATTTTCGTTAAATTTTCGAAAATGCCCTTGGCGTTTTGAAAGGAAAACAACCTGGGGGAGGCAAGTGGCTGATTCGAGGAATGCCGTGCCGACACGTAGCCTGACCGGCATGGTCTTTTTGGCATCTCCACCAGCAACAGTAACCTGTCCTTGCCTAGACACGTGTCGTGAAGAGAATCAGGAGGGGATAGAACCACGTGTCGGTCATACATAGACAGCAGTTAGGAGACACGTGGTCCGACTGGTTCGGCCTGTCGTAAAATGCCTCGACGGTGGCTTTGGTTGTTGTAGTCTGCTGCTGCTAGATTTCTCTCTCCTCCAATTCTTTATCTCCTCATTTTTTTTGTAAGAAGACTCTTTTAAATAGGAAATTTCAATGAATTGTCGACACTATATCTTTTTGATACATTATTTATAATATTAGAGCTTGAATTGTTCTACAGAGATGAGGTAATACGGTAAGTCCACTTTAAAGAGAATCTTCTTAGCATATTTTCTTTACACTTTTTATTTTGTCTTTCTCTCTGTACAAAACTTAACGCAAAATGTTAACTTGACTTAATTATGATCGTAAATGCGAGGAGAGTGAAAAAAAAACAGATGAGAGATAAACCTACACCAGATAAAATTGCTCAATCGAAAATCCCTTATACTACTTGTCCACTCATGTTTATTTATTTTATTGTTGGTCGTGCTTAGGTTATTGTTGTCGTTTTAATTATTTGACTAGTACTACTTTCTCTGTCATCTTTTTAAATAACAGATTTAGATCTGATAATTTATTTTTGATGAGTTTTTATATTGTTAATTATGGTTGTAAATTGTAAGATATTATGTTTCAATATCCTAACATGTATAGTATGGAACTGGTTTTTATAGCCTTTTAGGTTAGATGACAATAAGTAGTGTTCTTAGGTGGATTTTCTACAAACTCTGCGGAGATAGGTTTGCGGCAACGAAATAATAAATCATGCTGGTTTCTTAACTCAAACTTTTGTAAGTATCATTACTTTAGTCTAACTTGTAAATGAAATATAAATTGAATAACAAGAAAGCTCATGTGATTGTGACAATGTATAATCGAATAGAAACATTACAATTATGAACTTCTCGTGTCTATTAATACATGAAAAGTCAAGAGTTAAAATATGTATTGCCAATTACCCGTCAAACCATACAAGATAGTTATAGCATGTTGATCCAAAATTGACCCAAATAAAAGTATTAAATTTTATACAAATTAAAATTGAGTGCACGAAATAACTGTTAAACCAAATATAAGACTGATTGCCCTCATGTTCGATAACGATATTAGATTCGGACTTTTATTTTCTAGTAAAAGAAATAGCACACACTCATAGAAAACATAAAGTTGCTATAATGTATTTTTTGTATTACGATAAAGCTAGGTTTTACATTATTACGTTACTATATAGTATGGAATCAGTTTTTTCTTATATTTAAGAATTAAAATGATACACGACAGCGTACAATGTAAGTTGCTCTCTATTACGATGATGTAGTCAAAATCTATTACCCATAAAGTCAACTAGGAAGAACATAGAGATCGGGCGAGTGGAGTGGGGTGCACGTGCTTCCAACCAAGAAACATGCCGTCATCATAATTTTTTATGGGTAAAAGAAGTGGGACCAGCAGTGGCAAGTTACAGTTTCCCACACCCTAGAAAATAGTACAACTAGCTACGTGTCGGGTATCCACGTGTCCAACATAGCAATCACCAACTTCTGAGAGCGACATGTCGTCTGGTATTTTTGGCCCACTTTTTCGCTTACTTTTTTGCCAAAAGAATTTCGATTTCATCAACCGAAAAATAAATGGAGTTATTTTTTTTGGAACAATAAAGGGGGTTATTTTGCACTTTATAAACGTAACCATGCACTTTTTTTATTAGTGAGAAATGTAGAAAATAGAGCACAAGTCTATTTTAAATGCTAGTAATTCATTTTAAAACAAAAATTTAAATTTTTATTCGAACGGTGTTTATTTTAAACTAATATAAAATGTATAAAAACGAATTCAAATACATGTGCATAAAAGATACCATATCTACTTTAGTTAATGTGATTGCGTATATTTGAAATAGCCATACATTTCAATACTTTTTTTTCTACTATGTTAAACGGCTCGTTAAAGCAGTGCAAGTGATTTCAAAGAATACTAAATAGAGAGGTTCGATCTTCTATCACATATACTAATATCTCCACAAATGCTTGCAACAGACTCTTAACTATCACAGACGCTACGCGTCGCTCATGATCTATTTTGTATGGGAATAGTATGGACGGGAAAGTAGCAGTTTTTCACTTGTCCGTTAAAAACGTGTTTCATATTTGGGAGAGCGTGAAAGTGTAGGCGGATACTTTTCTGCCTGCTAAACGGTCCCACGGTGCTAAACCAGATGAAAGATTCCCCGATTCTTCAGGTCGCCACGTGTTGGTTAAGGATTGCAATCCACAGACAAAAAACACGGTTGTGTTTTACGCCATCTTTGAAATGACTTAAAAACCCCTGCCTACATACACCTGTCTCATAAAGTATTGTATCCCCACATGCCATGTCAGTCTGTCACGAACCCGGATTTTCGCCGGAATCTTTGTGAAAATACCGAAAATCTATGAATCGTATACGTTATCTGGCACCAACAAAAGCCACATCCTCAAGGACAGAGCAAATTGTGATGACAACTTAGCTATGCACATATATGCTCAATTTGGTTTTCAACACCAATTATTCGATCAAGGATGTCAAACATATAACACAAAATAATCAACATAACTATGAAGATAAATGCTGGAGAAACCATATTTTTGTACCACATGTGTATATGTATAAATATATAACCTTCCTAACGTTACTCAATTATATGGTTTTCCTAGCATTACTCAAAACTTCCAATAATAATTTTTTGGGAGGGGGGGTGTGTGTGGGGGCAAGGTCAAAACCTCGTAATATGGCCGCTCTCTAACTTCTGCCTACCAAAAACGCCTAGTGTATGAAATATCTTAAGTAAATAAGCTTTCTTATATGTTTCAACCTGACAAGATCCTTAACCTAACTTAAGCTGCAGATTTTGATGTTTGACGAGGAGCTTTTCCTCCATTCTGGTAAGATCTCCGGTGCTGATAAGCTTCTCCATTGCGCCCGGCAGCTGGACCGGGGAATTCACAGTATTCACCCCTCTTCTCCTGATCGTCTCTTCCATAACCACGGCCTCCATTGTAGTTTCCGCGGCCTCCATTATAGTTCCCACGGCCTCCATTATAGTTTCCATGGCCCCTAAAGTTGTCATTTTGGTATCCACCCCTTCCTGATGAGAACCTTCCTTTGTCGCTGGCTGCAAGCATAAAATAAGTCGTAAGCAATCAAGCATGTCATCTCCCAAGCATATTTTGAGTGATAATACATTTGCATTTTTTACTACAGATATATAAGGTTATGGTCTTTCGGCAATGTTACATTATTTTATAACACATGGGTTCGTTTGATACTGTTTCTACGTTGGTGATGAGAAAGAAATGAGCGCAGCGAGGTTAAGATAGGAGAGCAGATAAAGAGTTTTTATTTTAAACATGTTGGACATAGGACATTTTCGTATGAGCAATTGTGACAAAGGCAATGGTGGAGGAAAGAAAGTAATTTCTACAAAAGCAATGCACATAATTCAGAAAGAATGATGAATAACATTTCAACTTGCCTCGTCTTTCTTCAATTTGTAGCTCATAATTGCCATATTTGATAGGAGATGCCTGAAGTGCACGTTGCAAGGAGTCAGCAGATTCAAATTCCACAAACCCAAAACAGTTTCCCTGATCCTGGATATACAAGTGTGATGCAGGACGAGTGAGAAACAATACACGAAAGGCTTAAATCAAGAAGAATACACAAAAGACGTAAAGCATACCCAATGGCTTCGAACTTGAATCCCATTGCGCTTGATGGGTCCATAAGGCTTGAATATCTTCTCCAGTTCTTCATGAGTTGCATCCATGGGCAACTTGGCAACAAAAATGGCATGAGACTTAACTGCAACGGCAAATAAGAAGGGTACAAAGTATGAATACTTATTCCAACAGTGAGAAAGTTATATAACACCTCATTAACTGGCACAAATAAAACAGGTAAAATGGTAGAATTTAATACCAACCTGCAGGAACATTATTCTTGTCCACAGCACGGTTGTTTCGGGGAGGTAAAGCTTCAGGCGTTACAGGTGCACGCGGCTGCTCAACAGGTTTGGGCGCAGGTTTGCCCACAGGTGTCCTCACAACAAATGGAGCTTTATTCTCACTCAAAGCACTCACCTGAACCGAGAAACAATCAGATGATAAACACAAGTCTAGTAATACCAAGTACCAACTACTAGACAACCTAAACATTAACTCACCACTGCTGCAAAAGACTTCTTTGGGGCATCCTTCTGGGCTTTAGGAGCTGCGTGCTCCGTTGCCTTCAGGGTAACGCTCTGTCTTGATTCAATGGGATTATCAGCACTCACACTGTATTTAGTAATAGGTTCCGGAACAGTCTCCATCACATTATTGGCTTTCTTTTCATTAGTGATCTTAACCTCCAAAGTGGTAGTTTGACTGACCACGGGCTGATCAGCGACAGCAGAGGGCTCTGTAACAACTGATAACATAATATCCATAAATAATTTGTTTTCCAAAAGCCAACCTCCCAAAAAAAAAAGGAAAATTATATTTGAAATCGCATACACCATATAACATACCATGGTTCGAGGGAACAGGAGCTTCTGGTGTACTTTCGACAACATTATCTGGCACAACATCCAAGTATTTAAAGATATCATTCAAGACAAAGTATCCGTGCTGTTGTGGGGCTAGAAAGAAAGTTTGAGTAAATTTTCTTCGCACTTTGTCATCTCCAGTTAAATATCCAGTCACTAAAACAATCACTCCACCATTGAGTGAAAACTGAGAATCGGTAGTCAATATTTCTAAGTCACGATATTTCTGGTAATCCGAGGACAGTAGCATGTTCTCAATGCCCTGTTTCAAAACAAACATCCAATTAAATCATCAGAATACGAGAACTCCAGTTAACACAAAACCGAATGCCATCATGAAAATTTACAATAACTAAGGCTGCCAAAGACCAATGCAGGCAAAAGAAGCACGAAAGAGCAGCAAAAGGCCACCATATTAACAATGCAATCTCCTCCAATACGTTCACAAATATTGTACTCAATCAAAAGGCTGTAACAACTAAGTAACGAACATCAGTAAAGAAACTATTAAAACTTTTTACAAGGCTTACTTCCATAGTTGTCACTGACTTCATGGAACCATCTTGTTCAGGACGAGATAGCACACTTGAATCCTGATAAAATTTATGGAGCACCTTCGAATCACCTCGAAAGATTTGACGGTATTGGTTTATAAAATTCTTGCCCACGTCCGTTGCTGTTGGTGTATTTTCTGATTGATTTGCCATCTCTGCAACCACAAAGGTGGTGTTAAATTTTATTTGATATTAACAGAATTAATCCAATACAAAACCCAATTTATAGCTTAATTTCACATTCTCTCGAAATCAACCAAAAGAAAAACATACAATATTAACTGAAATTTGAGGATCTAAAAAACGAAACCGAACGTACTGGTACGATCGCCACTCAAACTTGGGTACAAAACCCCAACCCTAAAACCCCAAATAAAACAGGAATACAATTCTCATCGGCATAATTTACATATAAAACATAAAAAAATAAAAAAAAACCCCAAATTTATAATTTTTTTTCTTCTCTTTTGTTTCTGGACCCAAATCTACAAAATTTAATCAGGAATCATAAACCTTACGAAAAAAAAAACTAGTTCCTGAATCGAATCGCAAAGAAAACAACATTGGGATATAAAAACAAAGAAAACAAAACGCAAGCAAACTCAAATTCATTCACGATACAATGCAATCAACCGAAAACTCAAACACACCAGATACAAATTAAAAAAAAAAAAAAAAAAACCCCAACACGGAGCGAAGAGAGAAATCAAGACGCACCAGACGACGGCAACAGGGAGACGAGAAGCGCCCTGCGGCGGCTCCAACTCCTGATAAAGGGGAGAGAAACTCAAAGAGGAGCGGCAGAGAAGAAGAAAGTAATAGGTGGTGTGGAGAATCTGATGTGAAGGTTGGAATTTATAGGCGATTTGTTTGTGTTTTTCTCCAAATCCTGGTCCGATTTATTCTCCTCTCTCGGCCCACCGCCTTTCTCAGGAGTCTGGAGTTGGAGGGAATTTTCATATTTACACAGTTCGGGAGGGTCCCACCAAAATTAAATGGATATTGTACGACAAGTGAGGATTCTTAAATCACATTCGTTCATTATACATCATGCGGTTATAAATTATTATAAATTTTTTTATTTAAAATTAAATATAAATAGTACTTGACAAAAATGATTATACGATTTATAATAAAAAGATATAATTGAAATATCTCTGAAATCCTCATAAAAAAAATTCGGCGAGGATTGTTATTGGTGTACAAGCATTTAGAATTGACGTCCTTGATTTGTTTTAAGATAATAAAAAAGTTCTTGATCTGACGGCTATGATTGGTGGATTTTATGCCATGTCGAATAAGGGAAATTAAGAGTTGTCAATTTCCTCCTTTTTTTGGTATTCGTTAAGGGATTTATTTATTTATTTTGTTGATTTTTGATGAGGAATTAAGATTGCCAATTTGTTCCTTTTGTTTTGTTTGCTAATAATTTGCTCAAACGAGGAAATTATATTGAAAAAAATATTGTGAGATGATTAGGGTAAGATTATGAGTCTTTAATGAATTTAGGGTGCGATTCTTTACTAATAATAATCGGGTCAAGATAATTACTATTTTTTGACATAATGTTAAATTATACTTGTCTCGTAAATGCATGCACAATATTTTCTTTTAAAAAATACAAGCTACACATAACTTACATAATCATGCGCAATCTAAAAGTTTTAGGAATGTATTCAATTGGGATTTTGATAAATTATAATTCTTTTAGTAAATTTAGGATATTCAATTAGGATTTTAAAATTTGCTAAAATTAAAAATGTATTCAATCAAGATTTTAAAATAGTTTATTAAAATTCTTATGCATCTAGATCTATTTAATTATGATTTGAAAAAAAACTCATAATATTCCAGGTGTATTTTAAAACTACAAATATTTTAATTATGCGTCTAGATCTATTTAATTATGATTTAGTAGTGTATTTTAAAGCTACAAATATTACATAAAATTATAAAATGTTGAGGCAATTGCAAGGGAATTAAATCAAAATTTTACATAAAATCTCTATAAATATATTAAACTCCATAAAATACAAGGATTTATAAATTCATTAAAATTTCTCAAAATCTTAATTGAATACATCATCCTTAATTTTATCCCTTATTTTCAAGAAATATTATTCAACTCTAAAAATTTGGAGGTGTATTTAATTGGGACTTTGAGGGATTAATTATCTTAATGAATCCAGGGTATTCAATCAGGATTTTAAGATAATTTATTAAAATACTTATAAATCCGAATGTATTCAATTAGAAATTAAAAAAAAAAAATTTATAACATTGCATGTGTATTCAATTTGAATTTGAATTTAAAGCATTTGGAAAAGTTGAGGAATTAGAAGGAATTAGAGAGATTTTGTAGTGTATTTTAAGTATCCACAAATATCACATCTCCCAATAAGATTTCGAAATAATTGAATCAAAATTTTACATAGAATCTCTACAAATCGATTAAACTTTATAAATATTCATGAATTTATAAATCCTTTAAAATATCTCAAATTCCCAATTTAACACGTCCCCTTAATTTAGCCCTATATTTTTCTTACTAAAGTTTGCACAGAGACGGGATTTTAGTTAAACCCTCAAAACTTCATCAATTAGGGTTTAGGGTGGGTGGCAAATTGGCAATCATACACAAGGGGAAATGTGCGGAATCGCTTTGATCATCTGTGGCATTCGTTTTGATCTGTCATCCCTGCTTCTCAATTCCACATCTGCACTCTCCAACTCTGACCAAGTCTGTCTCTTTCTTCTTCTTCTTTTGGGTAAAAAAATGGAAGCTTTTCGGCTTAACTATTTGATTAACAGACTTTGTTGTTGGGACTGAGCAGCTTCCGTTCGCCATTGACGACCTCAGAGAAGCTTTGCGGAGGAGGGGTCCCGATAGCTTAGGCAGCACGAAGCTTCTTCTCCGTTCAGCCGTTTCGAATCGTCTCCCGGTGCGAGAAATTGTGTCTTCCATTGAGGGGGAAGTAAAGGAGTCTGGTTGCGAAGGCGATGAAGGCAATTGTTTCTCTTTGGCAAATGGTCGAACACATCTGCATACACATTTCAGCACCGTTCCCTGTTCGTCTGCTGAGTTGCACTTCCTGGGTGCCACTTTGCAGCTCAGGGGAGTAAGCTCTGTGGTTCAGCCATTGATAGATTCGGATAAGAATATCCTTGTTTATAATGGTATACATTTTTTTTCGAGTTTTGGGTTTTTTTTCTAGCATTTCGTTTTGTTTAAGTTTGCTTGCTGTTGGATATTGAGTATGGATTATTTCCGAAAGGTGAAATCTTTGGGGGCATAGACATTCGTAGAGATGAGAACGATGGCGAAGTTCTTCTGCAGTTGCTGGGAGAGTGCTGTTCGATTTCTGTTCCAGATGTTCTTTCTAAGATCAAAGGGCCTTGGGCTATCATCTATTGGCAGGTAACTCCGAGTGGTAAGTTTGGTTTTATTTTATTGGCATTTGCTGCAGCATTTTTCTTGCTTGGGATATTGCTTCTGAATTGTTTATGTATTTCCATGGATAGGAAAGTTCAAAAACTCTGTGGTTTGCTCGAGATGCATTTGGTCGGCGGAGTCTTCTTGTTCACTGGCCAACACTGGAGGACTCTCAGTTTCTGCTGTCGTCTGTATCACCTTTTTCTTCAAATGAGCGTTCTTTTGGTATGTATAGCTCGGTAGAGCTTTATTTTTCTTGCCAATCTGATTCTTGATCTAAGACTGTAGTAGTAGTGAGCCGTATCTATTAATTGATAATGTCAATGGACTGTAGATTTTGAAGTTGAAAATGGAACTACGAAGCTGAATTTTTGGGAAGAGCTCCGATGTGGAATATACAGTATATCTATGAATGCTCCAGGTCTTGATGGGATTTTGGTTGGTGAAGTGCAAAAACATGAGTGGACAAATGGTGTACTAGAAGAACTGATAAAATGGGAGAGAACTTCTGTCGAACCTAAACCTGAAGACTTACATATTTCCCGTTCCAAGACTCTGACAGGGAAATGTGATATGCAGTCAGTTAATTCAGATACAGAACCATCTAAATCAGGTTAATATCATCTTCGCTGCAGAGAATCTAATCTTAAGTCAGTAAACTTTAAACTTTCAGTATTTTTTTAGTACATGCGTTGTTGTCTGAGGATGTCATTGTGCCTTTTGTTTTGACTGAGCAGGATCTATACAAGCTTCAATTTCTGTGCCAGCACAGGCCGGTACTGATTGCTTTAAGGGAATCTGTTAGGCGACGCTCTTCACTGCACACAATTTTTCAGGTTCAGAAATCTTATTTTATGCTTCTAGTTGTATCTGCAGTATTAATGTTAAATACTCAGTGATGTAGTACTTTTAAGTATTAACTTCTTGCTGTTTATTAGGCAGGTAGACATGATATGGAAAAGGAATTTGTACCTGTGGCAGTTCTTTTTTCTGGTGGATTGGATTCTATGATAATTGCAGCCTTGTTACATGAGTGCCTTGATCTGAGCTGTAAGTGTAGCTGGATAAGCTAGGTCAGCAGTTTATTTTTCCATAGTTCAATGTTCGCCTTGAGAAACTCAGTTTGCCTATCGCATTGTGGAATACCTGTGTAATATCGATAGCTGAGTTGATTTTATATTAATTTTTTGCTTGCAGATGATATTGATCTACTTAATGTGAGCTTTGATGGTCGGTCTGCTCCTGACAGAATCTCTGCCAGGGCAGGAGTATGCGAACTGAGAAGAATTGCACCTTCAAGAAAGTACTCACTAAACTTTTCTTGCGAGTCTATGTCTATGTCTATGTTTAATGCTTTGGCTCAGCATGTGTATAAAATAATATACTTTTGGATTATTTGTTCTACGCTAAAATGCAGTCTAACGTGCTTTTCAAAGAAGTGCTTATGGTCCACATTATCACGCAGCTTTGGGTTAAAGTCCTTGATGGTTTGACTCCATTCTTAATGCTTATGGTGTTCCTTACTCTATGCGATTGGAAATGCAGGTGGAAGCTTGTGGAGATCGATGCTGAATTGTCAACATTGACCTTTGAAACAAAGCATGTCATGTCGCTCATAAATCCTGCTAACACCTACATGGTACTCAATTTCATTCTATGGCCTAGTGTAGATTACATTTGTCCAGGGCATGTTTCCTGCTGATATTTATATTTATATGTTTTTTTGTTGACTGTTTGACTAAATTACGGTTTTAGATATCACAAGTATGCTAAGGTTTCGAGATAGGTGTTTTATGTTATTTATTGTTGCAGGACCTGAATATTGGAATAGCTTGTGGCTTGCTGCTGGTGGTGATGGATGGGTATATGAGGAAAATACCGATTATAATGATGAGGATTGTCAATGCATCAAGTACAAGTCCAAGGCTAGGATTCTTCTTGTTGGTTCAGGTGCAGATGAGCAATGCGCTGGCTATGGTAGGCACAGAACGAAATATAGAAATGGCAGGTATGTAATTAAATTACTGGGGTGTAGAGGATTATATGTTTTCAGGTACTCATTCTGGTGGTCTACTGTATCTCAGCTGGCGTGCACTAAACGATGAAATGAAATTGGACATGCAGAGAATTTGGAAAAGAAACCTTGGGAGAGATGATAGGGGCATTGCTGACAATGGCAAGGAGGTGCTGCTGACAACTTGGATAAATATCTTTCATTTTCTCCTTGGCTTGTGTTACGTGTTGATTTTAGTCTTAATTTATGCCAGGCAAGGTTTCCGTTCCTGGATGAAGATGTTATAAGAATTTTGCTTGGGTTTCCTCTCTGGGAGGTTGCCAACCTTGATCAACCGAGCGGGATAGGAGATAAGAAGATTCTGAGAGGGGTCAGTGCTAATTCCTTTGCTCAGCGTTTGAGTAATGTCTGATCTGCTTTTGCACTTGATGTGTACTGAATACAATGTTATCTCAATTCATGAATCTTGACCAACTGCTAAATTGTTTTCCTATTCTACGGTGGCTATGCAGGTCGCAGAATTGCTTGGTTTGTATGAAGCTGCTTCTCTGCCTAAAAGAGCTATACAGGTGGTGTTCTTTTCTGTTTCTCTCTCTTTCCTGTGTTCCCCCACTTTTTCGGGGGCTGATCATGCGTAGAACTCTGATAGTTTAGGTGATTAAATCATGGGTTTTTCTGTGTTTCTGTTTTAGTTTGGTTCAAGAATTGCAAGGGAATCAAACCGAAAGAATTACGGAAGTAACCGTGCAGCAAATCAAGCATCTGCAGGAAGTGCAGTGATTCACAAACGGTTGGACTGACATGGCTTAAGTGGGATTCTTTGATGCAGCGTAGATGCGTACATGTTTATGATTGAATTGGAAATGGAAGATCTTGGAAGAGTCGGGAACAACGTTGTTTTATGCACATTCGCATGCATGTCTCTCCGTTTCTTTGGCGCTTAATCGCTTATTAATTTGTATTAACTTGGCCTTGGGAATAATTTGACCTTCTTTTATTGATCTGGTGTCTCGTTATGTATCAGTTTTTGTGCGGAAAGAACCTGTTTGGAACCATGGAACTAATCAAACGGTAGCACTTGGTGTTTCGTTAGACATCTCGTGGTGGTATTTCATCATTTTTTTTGTTTTTGTTTTTTGTGTTGGTCAAAGCTGAATTTCGATATTTCGATAAGCTATAATACTCTAAAAAGTACTTTCAATTATTTTAAAAATTATTCTAAACGAGTTTTAAGTTAGTCATAATTAAGTATCAAACTAGCAATTTATATGAGTAAAGAATACCATCTTACCGTAACCTAAGATTAATATTGTGAATCTCTGTCAAAGGCCCAAGAAAGAAACATAACGTCTGTAACAGGCCCAAATCTTATAGGGTGTCATAAACGCTGTCCAGGCCCAGATACGATCGTCTAGTCTTAGCGCCGTTAAGTGGCGACGGTCACAGAATTTCTCTTTGTTTCTTTCTCGGATTTCCCTCTCTACTCTTTTCGCAGAGATGGAAAGCCATGGCAGCACCTCGCGTACCACCAGCAACAACACCAACAAGGAGCAATGGAGAGCTGAAGACGCCATAGCCGGCAACGCCGAAGCTCTCCGAGCTCTCAGAGAACTCATCATCTACCCTCTCCTCTTTTCCCGTCAAGCTCAAAAGCTCGGTCTCAAAGTAAACACCTCAAAACCGACACACACACACACTCCATATCTCTTACGCTTCCATTTCTCTTATGCTAATTAATTTTGGGTTTCTGAGTTTTCTTCAGTGGCCTCGGGGTTTGCTCCTCTACGGCCCTCCCGGCACCGGAAAGGTAAATATTGATTGAACCATCACTTTTCCAAGGTCTCTACTTGTTAAGTTCGCTTGATCATATTGTTAAAGTTGTAATTAGCATTGGTTTCCAATTGGGTTTTTACTAATTTTGTTTGCTTATTGGGTTTTTATGAAATTTTTTGTTTTTGTTTTTCTTCATGCTAGACAAGCTTGGTACGAGCTGTGGTTAGGGAATGTGGTGCACATTTAATTGTCATTAGGTACCCTTTTATTCCTTAATCTTTGAATTAATCTTAATCATCTGGGTACAGGTGAAATGATGTCAGTAGCAATGTTGCTCTTGACTCATGTTAAGTTAGGATTATGATATTATGTTGTCATGGTTTTAATTTCGTTCATTTTCCTATAGTCCACATTCTGTCCACAAAGCACATGCCGGAGAAAGTGAGAAATTTTTACGGGAGGCTTTTGCAGAGGCTTCCTCGCGTACATTGTCAGGCAAGCCATCTGTTATCTTTATAGATGAAATAGATGCAATCTGTCCTCGCCGTGATTCTAGGTAATAACCAGTGGTGCTAGAGTGAACCCTAATGAACTTTGGACATGCCCGGCTTAACATGGTTAAGTTATGTTTGAGTTGCAGAAGAGAGCAAGATGTTCGTATCGCCTCGCAACTCTTTACGCTGATGGACTCCAAGACATCCTCAGCATCAGTACCACAGGTTGTGGTTGTTGCATCCACCAACAGGTATATTCTTTCTTCTAGAGTTGAATAGTTGATAATGTTTAATCATGCCTACAAAATCTGATTGTTTCATGAGAGATATGATCTATTATTTCATCATGGTTTTGAAATTTTTGGTACTTTGTCGTCATAAATTTTCTATGCATTCTCATTATCACATTGCCAGTAAAGCCAATGTGCAGAAGAATTCATGGCTTTACATTGTGATTTATGTTCTAGTTAGTACTTCTGTAAGGGTTTTGTGTACTATTTCGTCTTATTTTCCAAATATATTAATATCTGGTTTCTACATACAAAGAGCTGAAGCAATTGATCCAGCACTCAGAAGGTCTGGGCGGTTTGATGTTGAAGTTGAAGTTACTACACCTACTGAAGAAGAACGCTTTCAAATTCTCAAGGTTAGAGTGATGCTTTAAAAATTTTGTAAGCGATAACATGGCTTACTTTTTCAATAATGTCAATCAACTAATCGAAATTCGACCTAGTGTTCACTAAATTCCAAGTATAACAATGCCAATGAATGTTCAGCTCTACACAAGAAAAGTTCCTTTGGATCCCAACGTTGATCTACAAGGCATAGCTGCATCTTGCAATGGATTTGTTGGGGCGGACCTGGAAGCTTTATGTCGTGAGGCTGCTATGTCTGCAATTAAAAGACATTCAGATGCAAATAAAGATGCTGGTGCGTTTAGCTTAACAATAGAAGACTGGAAGCATGCAAGGTCTGTGGTTAGTCCAAGTATAACAAGAGGTGTCACGGTGGAAGTTCCCAAGGTGACATGGGAAGACATAGGAGGGTTGAATGATTTAAAGGTGTGTAAGTTTTTGCTTGTTTGTTTTCATCTCAGGCTGAAGTCTCATGGTACTAATTATATTTTACCTTTCTTGTTGACAGAAAAAGCTCCAGCAAGCTGTTGAGTGGCCCATCAAATATGCTTCTGTGTTTTCAAGGCTGGGAATATCACCCATGCGTGGAATTCTTCTTTATGGTCCTCCGGGATGCTCGAAAACCACTCTTGCTAAAGCCGCTGCACATGCTGCCCAAGCTTCGTTTTTTTCTTTGAGGTTTGAACTTCTTCCATTGTTTGACAAATTTGTTCTACTTATTTAGTAAGAAGCTGCTCACCTGGAAGTGCATTGAAATTTTTACATTTACAATATGTTTATTTGACAAACTAGAAGAGTTGCATGCCTGAAATTCATAAAGTTTGAATCAGTGGTGCAGAATTGTTTTCAATGTACGTTGGAGAGGGTGAAGCTTTGCTGCGTAATACCTTTCGGAGAGCTCGCCTTGCAGCACCCAGCATAGTATTCTTTGATGAGGCGGATGTTGTTGCTGCCAAAAGGTTAGTAACTTAGTATGCTGCAATTGTCCAGTAGCCTTCTTTGTTGTGGGATTGACCATTAACATGATGATTTGTTATTTTGTATCAACTAGAACAAGTTTGCATAATCTAATGAAGAACAGCAGTACAAGTTTCATAACTTTCTTTGTTTTCCTTCAATGGGCAGAGGTGGGAGTTCAAGCAACAGCAGTACTGTTGGAGAAAGGCTTCTGTCTACTTTGCTGACCGAAATGGATGGTTTGGAAGAGGCTAAGGTTAGCACTATATCCCATTAAATTCTTTTACTTCTGCCGTAATTTCAAAATTGTATTCTCATTTGTTTTTAGGGAGTCTTTGTTTTGGCTGCTACAAACCGTCCTCATGCAATCGATGCCGCACTAGTTCGCCCAGGACGCTTTGATTTGGTAACGATTTTGTTTAATCACATGAATGGTTTCGGAGGTCTAGTGCAAATTTTCTACAAACCAAAACTCAGCAGTATGTCGAAGAGATGCGTTAACTCTTATTTTGATGAAATTCTAGGTGCTCTTTGTACAACCACCAGATTTAGAAGGTCGATATGAGATACTTCGGGTACATACTCGTAACATGAGATTAGGAGATGATGTTGATCTCAAACGCATAGCAAAAGATACTGAGCACTTCACAGGAGCGGAGCTGGAGGGTCTATGCAGGGAAGCAGGAATAGTAGCTCTGAGGGAAGACATATCAGCCACTGTTGTGTGTAATCGTCATTTCCGGACTGCAAAAGATTCGTTAAAGCCAGCATTAACGAAAGCAGATGTCGACTCATATTTGGCTTTTGGTGTTGCTTAGAATCGAGTGCCGAGGATTTCAAGCGCGAAGGGATTTCTCACACAACATAGGTAGTACCTGAAGTGTTATGTGTACTGTATTTTTTTACAGCATTTTCCGTTTGAAAGAGAGCCTTGTTTTGATGTGATTTTCTAGTTTTGTATCTGTAATTATGTGAAATATGAGAGGCTCCTCAATAGAGAAGCCCAATTTTTTACATACATTAATATTTTCTGGCTGAGACGAGCATCTCCACATGCATTTTCCTGTTCGTGACACGTTTTTTTTAAAGGAAAACTAACGAAAAGTTTAAAAAAAAAAAAAACTTTAGTTTTCATGAAAAATGATAAATAAAGGTGTAGTGAATAGTATTAGGAAAAGGTAAAAATGTAATTTTTCGTTAAAAAGTGAACAGTGCCGAAAGTGTTTCATTAAAACTCATTTTTTCTAATCACGTGCGTGGTAATCCCCTTTGAAAATATCTAATCACGGGCGCGGTGCACCCTTTCGGAAACCTAACTAAACTAAGCCGTTCGGGTTGGTTTGGCTTTTTAGTACTTTTGCAAGTCAAACTAACCCGCTTTGGATTGGTTTGGTTTTTTTTTTCTATTTTTCCAAAGCAAACTAGACGGTTTGGGTTTGTTCGGGCTTTTGGTATTTTTGTCAAATCGGTTTATGAAACGGAACCGTTAATGTCTCTTTTGCCCTTATAGATTACACAAAAGTAAGGGCATTATTGGCTTTACACGTTTCTTATAGGCATTCAACTCCGCTTTACTCCCTCACAAGTTCACAACCACAGTAAAACAAACACAACTCCCTTCCTACGTTCGCACGTGCGGCATTCGAAAACAAAATTTTGCACGTGCTTCAAACTGTGACTGCCTTTTGCGCCAGAGCCCTAAACCCACCGCCATGGCTCAAGGCCAAGGACGGCCGAACAACTCCATGAAAAGCCCTAACCGCCAATTCTCCGCCGGCAACGGCAACGTCGATGCCCTCGCCACGAAGTAAGCACCTTTAATATCCTTACTTTCTGTTTGGCTGCTCAGAAAACCAGAAGATGTTAAAAGGTCTTTGATTTTTTAATTCTAGGAGGAAAGCGCTCGCGCAGCACAGGAAGTCCCTCCCAATCGCTTCTGGTATTATCTGAGACTCTAATTTCTTTAATTAATCTTTTTTTGTTTCTGTTTAGTGATTGTCCTAGGAGTGTAATTACTGGTGTTGTTTGATTACTAGTTGAAAAACGGCTAATCGAGGAGGTTCGGAAGCACGATACTTTGATTATTGTTGGCGAAACTGGAAGCGGAAAAACAACACGTATGTAGTCTATATATATATATATATTTTTGTATAAATCTACGAATATGTATTTATGTGCAGTTCTGAGCTTTCAGCTTGATGTTGTTTTACCCGTAGTATAATCTCTTTTTTGTTTCTCTAGAATTACCTCAGTTTTTGTTCAATGCTGGGTTTTCCGGAGACGGAAAAGTCATTGGGGTAACTCAACCTAGGCGTGTGGCTGCAATGACTGTGGCGAAGCGGGTTGCTGAGGAATGCGGCGGTAGTTTGGGTCAGAAGGTTGGTTACTCCATTAGATTCGAGGATGTGACTTCTAGTTCAACACGGATCAAGTACATGACAGATGGATTGCTCCTGAGGTAAATCTATGAATAGCTTGGTCAGGCGATATATTCTCTCTCTGAGACTTCCATCTAGAATCTTCATTGACATGCTTTACAATCATTTTTGGTGCATGTGGAGAGAGTTCTCAGTAAGAAAGTCGCTTTTTCGGTTGGTGTAAAACCACGTTGGAGTCTGTCTAGATGTAGACTTTGGCTTAGTTATATGATTTTTATGAACTGATATAACGGTTGCAACACTTTCAGGGAAGCACTATTGGATCCATATCTCTCTAGGTATTCAGTTATAATTGTTGATGAAGCTCATGAGAGAACTGTCCAGACAGATGTGCTACTAGGCTTGCTGAAAAATGTACAAGATGCAAGGTCAAAATCCCTCAACAACCTCCAGAATACTAAAAACCAGAAAACAAATGATGACATGCATTCGAAAGAAAACGGTGCTCAGGGCTTCCGTTTTCTCAAGCAATACCAAGGAAGGACCCCTTTGAAGTTAATTATCATGTCTGCCAGCTTGGATGCAAAAATTTCTCTGAGTACTTCGGTGGTGCAAGAGCTGTTCACATCCAAGGGCGACAGTTTCCGGTGGATATATTTTATACACATCATTCTATACAAGATTATCTTGATGCTTCGTTAACCACAATATTGCAGGTATTTAGTGCCCTTCATCAGTATTTGGTGTTAGATTAATCTGGAGCAGGTCCTTATTATTCCTAAATAATGTACATGTTCTTATAATATAACTCTAATTATATATCTGTGGTGTTAGATTCACCTGGAGGAGGGCCCTGGTGATATACTTGTATTTTTGACGGGTCAAGAAGAAATTGAATCTGCAGAAAGACTTGTCAAAGAAAGACTTAAACAGTTACCAGAAAATAGTCAAAAACTAGTAGCTGTTCCTATATACTCATCTCTTTCGTCAGAACATCAAATGCGAGTTTTTGCACCAGCCCCTCCTGGATTTCGTAAGGTAACTTAATGATGTCCATTAGCTTTTGTATAGGAATAGGAAGCATCAAGAAGGTTTATGATGTATATTCATTTGGTGATCTCTAATAATTTACATTGTTCTGTTAGGTAATATTGGCAACAAATATTGCTGAGACATCATTGACAATATCTGGAATCAAGTATGTTGTAGATCCTGGGTTTGTAAAAGCACGTTACTATGATCCAAACAAAGGGTTGGAATCTTTGGTGGTTGTTCCAGTTTCAAAAGCACAGGCTCTTCAAAGGAGGTAAATAGTTGGTTTGGGGGGATCTAACAAGAATTCTTAAAAATAAAATATCAGTTTTGAGGACAATTGAAGTTATTAATTTATATTTATGTTTTTATCAAAAATGAAAAATAAAAAACTAAAATTATGTTATACAAATTTTTAGATTTCTTTGCCAGCTTATTTTGTAAACACTTTATACAGTGCAATATCATAAAATTAAAATTACCTGTGGATATTTGAAGTGTTGACTGATGCTTAAGACCATATAACTTTGTATGACAAATGCTTTCATTGTGCAGTGGGCGTGCAGGAAGAGAAGGGCCAGGGAAATGCTTCCGCCTCTACCCAGAAGATCAATTTGGCAAACTAGAGGATTCAACAAAGCCAGAGATCAAGCGATGCAACCTCTCTAATGTCATTTTGCAACTTAAGGCGCTGGGTGTTGATGATATCACTGGGTTTGACTTTATAGAAAAACCGTCGAGGTAAAATCTTTGATAGGTTTTGTTATTTGTTTGTTTCTTATGATGCCTTTTTGTGGCTTGATGGTAGAAAGCAAGTGGCAGCTTTATTTGTTTTTGTCAAGCAGTTAGTTCTTCTAATAAATATTGCTTTTTGATCTCCCAGAGAATTTTATCATACATGAATCTTATTTGAACAGGTCGGCTATTGTCAAATCACTGGAGCAATTGTTCGTACTGGGTGCTTTGACAGACAACTGCAAATTGTCAAATCCAGTTGGAATCCAAATGGCTCGCCTTCCCTTAGACCCTATTTATTCAAAGGCTCTAATCGTAGCAAGTGAATTCAATTGCCTGGAAGAGATGTTGATAAGTGTTGCAATGCTCTCGGTGGAATCAATATTTTTTAATCCCCGTGACAAAATAGAAGAGGTATTTGTGTATGAATCATTTACCTATCTGTCTCCTGTGAATTTCTCGTAGATTATATATAGTTTGAAAGTGGAGTAGAAGTATTCTTGAGATTTCATTCTCTCTTTCCAATTTCCATTATGCTCCCACACAATATAGTTAAATATAATCTTGTTGCTTCACTGATATGAATGAAGCTATATTAGTGTAGTTATGCTTCTCTTTTCATGATCTCACAATACGGTGAACTGTTGTCTTTTACAATACTACTCTTAACTTGTTATACAACCTTCCTGTTGTCAGGTGAGATCTGCGCAGAAATCCTTTGCAAGTCCAGAGGGAGACCACCTCACTTTGGTTAATGTATATCGAGCTTCCAATGAGTTCTTGGAGAAGAGATCAGGTCTTAGTAAAGAGAAGCGTGAAAAAGCTTTCCGGAAATGGTGCAAGGATAATTTCATTCATAGTCGCTCCTTGACAAATGCTCGTGACATTCACAGGTCGGCTATTTTTCTTACTTGTTGAGCTATAGACATGTTTCTGCTGGTCTCACACAATCAGACTAGATTTTTAGCCCCTGTTTTGGAAGATCAGTGTGTCTATTATGGTGTAGATTGAAGTAATTGGCTTCTCTAAGTGTAATAGATGTTTGTTTGCAGACAAATTCGAGGGCATGTTGAACAAATGGGTCTTCGTATCACCTCTTGTGGGGATGATGTGCTTCAGTTTTGCAGATGTCTTGCCGCTTCTTTCTTCCTCAATGCAGCTTTAAAGCAGCCTGATGGAACATACAGGTCTTGAACTTACCTTGACATGTTTTGAAATTCTTTTGGTTGGTTTCATTTACGTTTCGAAGCTTGTACCCTTGTATGTATATTATTTAATTCTCTCTTGGAGTCATGTACGATCTCTCACAGTTAACTAATCAAATGACAGGGCTTTAGCAAATGGTGAGGTGGTTTCTATCCACCCGTCTTCTGTGTTAAGAAATAGACCAGAGTGCCTAATTTACAATGAACTGGTCGAAACTAGTAGAAAATTCATCCGCAACACAACTAGAATCGACTTTATGTGGTTAACTGAGCTTGCTCCTCAATTCTATGCCATGCAGAATTGAAGGTAGTGCGAAGAGGTATGGTTATTGGATTATTCGGAGATGCCATTGTTGTCTGCACCATCTGCAGTGAATTTTTTCTTTGTTTTTACGAAGTTTTTATGAGTACCATATTACATGCAGGCATGGCTCAGATGATTCGTTTGAAAGCTCTACTGCCATTCGCTTTTTTTTTTTTTATGCCTGATCCTGACGTGCAACAAGATAAGGAGTGGTTGCAGAATCGGTGGCTTGGACATCTGATGCTGGCATAGCTAGATGTTGTTTAATGTTGAGATAAGTTGACTGGTTGATTAGATGCTCAGAACCTGGACCATGTGGTCCATCCGCCACCTACTCGTGAACTGGAGCATTCTTGAAGAGCTTAATCCTGTCCAGCCAAGCAGCTACCTGCAACGGCTTCACAATTGCAAAATGACGAGAAGTGCTGTTGTAGCGTTTGGTTGACATGCTGTCGATGCTAAGCATCTAAAGCTAAGCTAAATCCATGTTGGATGCCATCTACTTTCTTCGGGTTTTCAGCGAGAATGCAACTTAAAACTGTTGATACAGATGGTGGTGATAGGTTAACGACGACGAGAATTATGCCATAACGATGAACCTGAACTTGGAAACAAGAACAGGAATATGTACACTGATGAAGTCCAATCTGTTTGTTTTCTGTTATGTATCTCATACAACTGTAGAAATGAATCTATGTGGAAAATGTGTGCCTTCAAGTATCCAACATGAAAGTTTGACTTGCATACGGGGTTAGGCCGGTTAGCTAATTTTTGTGTTCCTTGATCCAAACCAGGATGTTGCACTGGCATCAGTCTCAATGAGGCCAGTCCCTTTTGCACCAGTAACAGAGAAGCTCTCTCTTGCCGACGAGAATTATGGCGGCGTCAGGCGGTTTTTCGTAGTAACACAAGAAGACCATGCAATAAGCATTTCCCTACAGGAAACCATGATCGAATCCACCCCGCCGGATCAGGTCTTGCTTAAGGGCTCCGATCATGCACCTTTTTTTTTTCTCAAAGGCCACAGGCTTTACATAGGGTATTAGTAGAGATATCACAAATGCCTCCAGTGTAGACATGAGCTGAGCTGCCAATGCACACTTTAGTACATAGTGGGACAGAGATCTCTCGAATGTGCCTAAAAAGCAGGAAATTCGGATCACTCAAATTGTAAAAATGAAATCTGAAAAATCTAAGAGTCCGGATCTCTCTCTTTTTTAAACGGTCTGAATTTCCTGATTCTAAGAATCAAAATTCCATCAAAAAGGAAGAGAATGCATAAAAAATATTTTATTCGACAACTCTTCGTGAGAATTTTTATTTTTATTTTTTATAACTTGAATGGTAATTTGGTAATTATGGTTTTACACTTGATGCATGGCCGACAAATGAAAAGTACAGAGCATGGGTCACATCAAATGCCAAACTGGCATAACGTTTTATCCATAATTACCGCCTAATTATTTATTTAAATGAAAATGAAATCTGTATGAGTTTTTTGTATTACATTAAAAAAATAAATAAATAAATAAATAAGAGAAAAAAAATTCTTGAAAGTAAAAAATATCTCTCATATTAGAGTTGCGGTGTAACAATCAACCAATGCAGCAAAAGATGGGTTTCCATTTGAATGCGTGAACAACCGTTCATATTTAGAATTCAATAATCATCTTTCACGTCATATTGTGTTTATTTAAAAAAGATAACAATAAATCTGAAAAAGTAAATAATCAAGTTCGAAAATGGTCAATCCAATTTTAGGAAAATTAATATAGCTAACTTCCACTAAATCTTGCCCAATTTACTTTTTCCTGGTAGGATTTAAATTTGTGAACTTTGAAATATTTATAAAATAAAATCCGAATTCCATAAAATAAAATAAAAATAATAATAAAATTGAAAAGCAGTGACAGTGTATCTACACTCACATATGTATATAACGCATAGAAGTGGCGTAAAGTTTTGCTCAGTAGCTCAACACCCTCTCTGATTCCACAGCTCTCCCTCCAGATCTGATCCCAACAAACAGGTACCCCACGCGCCGCTTTCTCTAACCCTAGATCTCTGCCTCCCTTGTCGGATTTTGATTTCCATGTTTCAATCGCTGCGTTTCGCTTTCAATTCCTCGCTTTTTTTACCCGATTGTACTGTGTGCTGTGTTTGATTTGATGCTTTTCCTAATGAATAATTTTGATATTTTGATCGCTGGATTTTTTGGGGTGAAATTGTTTGACGGAGTTAGTAGAACGATGAGGTGCATTTCTTTTGTTAGATCTATATATGTGTTATGATTTTTTTTTAGAATGTATATGTTTTTATTTGTGCTGGTGTTTGATGAGGCGTTTCTTAAATCTTTTGCTTCTGATTTTTTGAGATTTATAGGATGAACAGTTCATCGTGGATCTGTCTGTTCGATTTTCATACCGAAAAGCTTTTGCATACGAGGCTACATTATGTTGAATTGAGCTTCTGTTTGTGTAATTTAGCTGAAATGATCAATTGGGTTTTAAAATTTGTGAAGAAAAGATTAAAATTGAAGAGAAATGGAATTGTTCGGCCTGCCAACGTCGAAAGTTTGAGCCTTGAAGTTCATGGTGCAGATTCTAAGATTTTTGGTTTTTCCATTTCGTTCGGGTTTGTTGTGAATGGTATGTTTTATAAAACGGATCAATGGCTTACCATCATGTAGAGTTGTTTGATTTCAAAGAATTTTGTTCGGATTTATTGTAATTGTTCATGTTGGCACATAACTTTTGGTATATTTTCTTGAAATATTTGTTCTTTTTCCGGAATTCCATTCTAAACATTTGTTTCTAACACAAGAGTTCAGGGTATCTGTGAAGAAGTTGGAGAACATGGGTCGCGGAGTTAGCAGCGGTGGGGGTCAGAGTTCTTTGAACTATCTTTTTGGGAGTGGAGAGGCTCCAAAACCAGCTGCCAACAATGCTCAAGCTGCGCCGGTTCCAAATGAAGGGAGGGCTGTGAGCAATGAGCCTGCTTCCAAGCCTACTGCTCCTGCTCCTCCTCCTGAACCAGTTGATATCACCAAGGCTATTCCTGCTGGTATCCATAGCACCTCTACAAACAACTACATGCGTGCAGATGGCCAGAACACCGGAAACTTCATTACTGTATGGTTCTTCTCATTGTCTTCTACAAATAACGTTACGGTTGTTTCTGATGCTTATAGCCTTAGACAAAACCTAGTTTACTTACACGGTTACTGATATAGCCCCGTGAATCCCCAATTTTTTCGTTAATTTTGAATTTGTTATCCAAATAGTGTTGTGATTATGATGCAGTGAAGCTATTTTCTCTAGAAAGTAACTACTCTTGTGAAATCCGATCTCTAACGGTACAGTGACAACAGTTTATATTTATGCTGAAATTGGCATTTTCCTCTTCATTCCTCCGCCCGAAACTTGTCTCCCAACCCAAAACATTGTTTGTTGTAACGTTCTTGTTCTGTTTTATGCGCAATCTCTGTTTACCGATGTTCATATTGATTTTCCTTGTGTGCAGGACCGACCCTCGACCAAGGTCCATGCTGCCCCAGGTGGTGGATCTTCTCTGGGTTACCTCTTCGGTGGACCAGGTGGTAACTGAGACATACATGCCCTTCGTAACGTTGAATTTTGTGAAAACTCCATGGCGGACGAGGCAATGCCTTCATCCTTTTTATATAAACAATGGAAGTCTTTGTGGATTCTGTGATGTAATATAGATCTTGTGGTTGTTTTGGATCATTCAGTCAAGAATGATCTATTTTAGATGGGTAAACCATCCGATACAGGTTTCGTTTTCATTGACAAACCAAACATTTCCTAGTGCATATTTCGTGTTTCCCGTCATTTTCTCAGTGATTAATTTCTGTTTTCCATCTATACATGGTCATTTCTGTTGCTTTCTAAAGTTGGATTATGATCGGGAAGTGTTGCTCGTAATACACACACATTAGATCTGTGCAATGCATTCCAGCTCGGACGGCCCAAGGGAAGTAGTTTTGAAAGAATCATTTCCTTTGCTTCTCGTTGAATCTCGCCGATCCCCCTATGACGGACATCAGGCACATGGGAAGGTACATTTGATCAAACTCTATTACCTTCAGCGCTGACTCCCCCATCAAGTTCGTCGGAAGGCCAAAAAGCGTGTGCCAGAAGTCGTGCACCTCCCGAGCCCTCATGACCACATATGCAAGCTCATCTGTCTCCATGAACCGCACAGCCGGTCAATCATCTGGCGAGAAGTTCCTGGATCCCATGAACTTTGCATAGGCGGCGCCATTGTGTTTTCTGGTAGATCCCATGCATAACCCACATTTACAGATATTACACGGGGTTGCTCCAAAAGTATGGCCTGCAAAGAAAGGAACACATTCGTCCAAGGATAACAAGAAGTCTAGCATTCAACACTCAAGATTCAGCAACACAAAGAACAATATTGCAATTTCTACACGAACGGCTAAAATATGACCTTATGTTTAAGTAATTATCTAAATTAGTGCCATAGAGAAGAATGTTTACGTTACGCCACCCTACAAACAAGCAGAGTCACGAAGAACGTGTTACAATCAAAGAACAGAAAACTACAACACCTTCGTCGAAAAAAAATAAATCAGATGGCTAAGAAGAAGCAACGTGATTAGCTACGACCACATTTACGTGAACGACTTTCGTAAACATATGTAGAACATGTTATTTCATGAGATCATTTTCGATTGATTGACAACCATTCCGAAATGTAATTAATAACTAAGACGGATAAGAACAGAGAAGACGAGGTCTTACTCTGCCTTCAGGGCTCCTCCTCATTCTTTATAGAACTCTCTTTAATGCAGGCTTCCCAGTTGTCTCTCCAAGAGCTGCTACGAGATCAGCTCTTCTTGGGTCCAGCAATGGCCCGCAGCTGAACCGACTGCAACAGCCGCCTGCTGCTACTGGTTCAGCCGAACACGAGCACTTCCTAACATGGCAATTCTCTGCTTTTGTTGCAATCCTAATCCTTACATGCAAATTTCAGCAACCATTTAACCTTTACACGATCAAAACAAATACAAACATTGCCTGTGAAGCATTTTCACAAACAGTTTCTGGGCAAATTACTGAACATTGCATCCAATGAAACGTAATTCACATTAACGTTTTTAATCATCACAACAAAGAAATGAAGCACCCACTTTTGTGAATCATTACAATTTCAATCACATTAATATTGGGAAATTAAGAAAATCTTAGCTAACAAGTAAGAGAGAATGCTATGTGGGCAAGATCCCTGACGATTACTAGATTTTTTTTTTTTTTTTTTTTAAGAAAATTCAAGACACTCATTCTTTTTAATGTAACATTCTAGGATCAATTTGTACTAGAAAACTTAAATAATTGGATTACATTTTCTTATCTTGTTACAAAGATGAAATTTTAAACTACTTTAATTTATGATGATAAATTTTTTCATGGGATGGCCAAGGCAGAGATTAAAAAATGGGAGTATTTTTGCTCATCACCATAAATTATGGTGTATTTTCATCACTCTATTTATTACCCTTCGATGAATTTGAATTTCGAGATTTGTATAATAGATAGACACAAATCTTAAAATTCAAATTCATCTAATGATGGTAAATAGACTGATGAGCATTACCACCACTTGGATGGTGAGTAAAAATGCACTCCCTATAAACTATCATAAAAATTCAATTTCGAATTATAAAAATGAGCACACTATTTTAGTTAAGCGACTGTTCC